CATGTCACAATGGTGACGTCACCAATCAATGTGTCAATATGTACGACGTACGTATTATACACAAGACTTGTTGCGCTTTTACAGCTTTTAAAATTTAAAAGTCTAAGGTTGCGTTATTGAAGGACTTTGTTGCACGACTGCACTACTAATTCTTATCCCAAGACTTGCTGTTCTTAGCAATGACCCATATGACATTCAGAGTGTGGTGTTATCTCCCAATGAAGATCTTAGGTGCAAAATACTGCTCGAGGTACAAAAAATCCTTTGAGTGTTCATCTCAAAGTTTTGAGACCATGCTGTGTTCCAGTAGCTTGATATGCATAAGTAGGGAATCACAAATTGTGCGCAAATTTAACAATGTACAAACCAGGGCAGATCCTCGCCGCATATGGCAGATCTGTTGGTCATATTGCTGCTTTTGTCATAGTATCGGTAGTCCTTTAGATAAAATGTTGTACTCGGGCTTTCAAATCACTCATTTAGTCATACCGGTATTGTGGTCTAATGAAGAACGTATATGCAATTGACCCATCGCCATACTGCCAGCGAAATCTTTACCAGTTCAGTTGGAAGTTGCTATGCATAATCTTATTACACGGCTATACCTACTCGGCCCTGACTAAGATATTACATTGCTTCATTCCGCTGGGGTATTTTTTTTGATTTTAATTCTTGATTTTTCTTGTACGAGTCGCCATCCCGAAGTCCTTTGTGTCCGGTAATATTTTACATCCAGCCGACATTTCTTGCATGTCTGGTACGATTACGATTTTGTCCGCTGTGGGGCTCGAACCCGCGCCACACAACGTTAGGCCCAGAAGCATTAACCACTCGACCCACGCCACCGGGTCGAGGCCATTACCAGTGAGGATACAGCAAATCTATTTCCGGACACTTCTTTTGCCAACATAGCTTTCCGGTGGTCCTTGTATCGGATAGAAATTTGCAATTTTCAGCGACGATTTGGTGATAGCTACTCGAGGTGATAGATATAGATTAGACAAATTATCATTGCCCACAAAATTTGTGGACCATTTAATGGTCAGACAGAACAAGTTAGTCTCGCAGTGGAAATACTTCTTCAAAACGTTCGCGCGGAGAGATCACGACCTTCATATAAGTTTGCGATGAACAAACAACTTCATGTATCTCAGGTTTTATAGATGATAATGTTTAGATCCGAGGTTTCTTTGACATCGCATCATTGATAGAAGGTTGTCGATACATGTCAATTTTCTGATCTTAGCCCGTTTGTACAACTGGATAATGAACAAACCTTGTGAATTGTCAGTCTTGTTCCGACTCCATTCCTGTGATTTAGCTGAGCATACACGCCCATTAGAATAACAGCATAAACATCGCTCAAATAGCCCTCGAACTTCAAGGAAGATCTCCCAAAACAAAGTACGTCAACTCGTGTAGGAAAAAATAAAATGAAAACACAGCAGCAGACTAAAGCAATGTAATATCTGGATTAAGTAAAGCGTGTAAATATAATACACAGCAATTTTCAAATGACTAAACAAGATTGTCGACGTGATTAACACTATACGGCCCCACCCTTGGAGCTAGATTTGCGAAATATCCGATCTACGAAGATAACTAAGGAACTACATCTTTTTTTCAATTTGACATCAAAGTATAACAAAGCTGGCTTAGATAGCCACACTGGCTCAAATCGACAAGATGAAAGCTGTCACTCTCACCACGGAACGAAAAGTTGTCATTTGCTCAGCTACAGAAAATCTTTCAGCATTTAGATCGTAACGATCCAAGACGACGAATATCACTACAGCAAAGGTTCTTTTAATGCTAAAGTCGTCTGCAAAAGACCTTGACTGCACATTTTGTTTAGTGATAGTTTCAAAATTGCTTCTTCCGCGAGTGCGACGAGCTCATTTAATAAATCTATCGGAATTGGTTACATCATGGACATTTGCCAAGCAATTACTAACAGGCTATATCACTAGTGCCGGACAGAATCTCCCCTAAATATCCCGTCAAGTTTGGCACAGGGTGCTTTCAGCAAAGTGACAGATGTGATGAAGCAGTCAACAAAATGTATATCCATCATTTGTTCCACTTCATCGGAAGCTCGGCCAGACAAATTCATAAACTGTCAAGTGCTCATAATGGCGATGCGAGGCGACTTGTGGTACAGCCGCGCTTAGGAGGTACGAGATCAAATGATGGCCGCCACCATTATTCTTGGTTTACATTGCATCTAGTTGCGGAGATACGGAATGCCAATTGTTTGTACGAGCACAGCCGTCCCGCTAAAACTTCGTTTCGCTCAATATGTGCTGTGAAAATATTACAGCAAGCACCACTATTCTAGCCTTCAAGTCATTTCGCACAGAATCTTACATGACTTGCTGCGAAAGAGATCACACGGGGACAGATTAAGTCGCTTAGGACGGCAACAAAGCAGAAATTGGGCTTTGACGGTGATCTCAAGTCCCTGCTTGATCAAATTGTGAACGAGTCTTGTCGAGTAATACAGAAACCACAGACGCCCTCATTCATTTAAAACAATGACACTGGTGACTTTAATGAAATCGCGATTACCGTGACGTTGTCGTTCGAGTATCGTCGGATCCCCTCTTGAGCCAACTCATGAGCGGCTAATTGTAGATCTTTATGAAGTCGTAGTCGATCACGAAAAATCGATATAGCTTCTTCGCTAGTCATGACATCCCAGAGTCCATCACAAGCTAAAAGAAGAAACTCGTCTTCCTGTCGGTTCAAATCCAGATTGATGACATCAGGCTTTGCCGTCAGCAGTGATGGTACCTTTTCGATACCGGCGTCACCGAATGAATGACGAGATCTGCTGGCTCCTCTGGTTGCATCAAGCAATCCTTTGAATTCAAGATCGCCAAATGCACGTGTGATAGCCATGACACCATTTACCCGATTGTTCACGACATGTCCTCCCAACTTAAGAATTCGTTCGCGCTCGACATCCACTGTCAGCCGATGGTCTAGCGTAAGCTCAACTACACTACCATCACATTTGCCTAGCACAAGACGGCAGTCTCCTACATGAGCAATTGTTAAATGAATATTTCCATTCGCTGCCGGACGTAGTACAAGTGCAGTCGCTGTCGAGCCACTAAGGTCATCTTTATGAACCAAGTAATCGCATACGGATACATCAAGCGATTCAAAACAGTCTTGTAAATCTTTGACACTTAACAAAGGCACGTCTTGTGCTTTAAATATCCAAGTATGGAGTTGCTCATGCAAAATATTTGCACATTCCTCCCCACCATGACCGTCGTAAAGCCCAACATAGGCAGCTTCCTTTGCCCATTGAGAAATTTCACCGTCGCGACAGGCAAAAACTGTGGCGATCGAAGGAATGACTACCCAACGATCCTCTTGTGTGTTTCGTCGACCCTTCAGCGACGAGACACCATAACTCAGAGCAAGTGCAGAGCTTTCACCGTAAAAATGCGGGTCATCTCGGCATTCGTAAACGTTCAGTGGAGGATCTTGCGTGACAGTCGCAGTAGAAATCGCACCTTTATTACTCGAATCATTCTTGTTAACAAGAAGTGGCGATGTGTCGCTTGCCAAAGGCGGCATTGACAGCGTCGTAAGCAACAGCTCGTCTAACAATTGGGGTGACTGCGATACAGCGAGCTCGTCGTCATCAGACACGCCGTCGTCGTCAACACCATCATTTCCGCTGTTTATCAAATGGTGAGAAAGAGCCACTGCACAATTGTAATTGCCACCTTTATGAATAGGTTCCAATGCATTCTTGTTGCTCGCTTTCTTTCGAGAAAACATCTGTGACCTGTAGTCAATCTCTTCACTTGAAAGAACTTTTCGTTCTCCTGCTATTGAGCTTTCGACGACACCCGCAACCATCTCAGATGATGCGATGAAAACTCGATTCGTTCTTGCTGCATTCTTTGCATTCACTGCCTTTGGAGATTGGCCAACGTTCCAGTCTGTTGTCTTTAACTTTTTCTTCTCTGACAGATTCTCGCGAGCGTGTTCCAGCCGTTGATACATCTGCTTGTGAATGTTCAAAACGATCGCAATGTGATCCGCGCCTACTGCGCGCTCGATCTCGTCTGTCGACACAGTAATCGGACGCGAGGGATGGTAGATTGCATCGAGCGCTAAGCTGTGCTTTTCATTCTTCGTGACCCACGGATGGATCATGACGTCGAGCAATGTCATACGTTCAAGTGGGGATTTTGTAAGCATGCCTTTCAGTAAATGTGCAAGCAACGGATCAATGGCTCCTGGAAATACTAACGGATCATTCTGTATTCGTTCAAACATAACCATTGCACTCTTTGCAACAAAAGGTGGATTTCCAAACTTAAGCATAAATACTGTTGCTCCAAGTGCCCAGACATCAGCAAGTTGACCTGAATACTCTTTCCCAGAGCACATTTCTGGCGCCATAAACGCAGGAGTACCCGCTACATCCATGATCTTCTGTTTACTTCCGTAAAGTGATTGGGAGATCCCAAAGTCTGCAATCTTGACGATATCTCTGTCTCCAACAAGAAGATTTTGCGGCTTTATATCGCCATGTACAATTTTTTGTTCATGCAGATAAGCTAGTCCAAGGATGACTTGTAAGAAAATGCAATGCAGGTCTCGATCACGCAAGTTTTCGAGCATGTTTAATGGATGTTTCTTTTTTTGAAACGACAGCATGTCGCCGTGCTGCATATATTCAAGCACGAGAAAAAGTTTGTTCATCTTTGGGTCATCCATGACTTCGTACAGACGTAACACATTCGGATGGTTCAATTTTTTCATTATGGCGATTTCGCGCTTGATATCGTCAAGTTTACTTTGCTTGCCTAATTTGTCCTTTTTCATGACATCTCGATTGATAAATTTCATCGCATAGAGTTTACCCGATTGTTTCTCCTTACAAAGCTTAACTTCGGCGTACCCACCAACGCCAAGAGACTCGAGTATAATATAATTATTGATCATTGTGCGCGAGTTAAGCCAATCGCCAAATTTTGGGATCGGGTGAGGCAAATTGTGTTGAGGAATTTCGGCTCTTTTCTTCTTTACAATACTAGTGTCTCGAATCGCAGCGGCAACTGGAGAGTGATTGGGCGACAATGCAGATCTAATTGGAGACTGCTCGCCTGATACCACAAGTGGAATGCCTGTTAGTGCAAAGTTATTGCCAGAACCATAGGGATACTCTTTTTTTGGCGACGGTGTGCCCATGACTGGAAGTCCACGTTTGGTTGGTGATATGTCACCGAGAGCTAAACAGTATCCTGGCAGATGTCTGGGAGGAAGTGGACTGGTGGCAACATTGCCACTTATCGACGATGAAGGATCACTAGTAGGAGGAACAATAGTAAGACCATACAAGTGACGTGAACGCTGATGAATACTTGCAGAGTTTGCCATCGTACTGACATGGCTAGGTTCATGAGCTGACTTTAAGGGTGTTACAATATTTGACAGACCCACGCCTGATTTTGTTAAAGATGGAATCAATGTTGAAGCTCTAGGGCTGGCAAGCCAGTCATGTATATAGTCATTGAATACTTCCCCATCGTCTTCATCACTACCACCACTGTCGCCGTTGTAAATTACATCTTTAGAACTGTTAGAAACGTCAGGTTGCGGATAAGAATTGGTTTGACGACCGAAAACTCGGTTGCCAGGCGGTAAAGGCGCTGCAGAGACTTTAGCGTTCTTTTGCATTGAAAAATCTGTATTTGAAAGATGCATTCGAACAGCCTTTGTGTTTCTCATCTCGACCGGATCATTTAATTTTAGGCCTGGTTTTAAGACCTCAATGCCGCCGTCAAGATTCCATTCCTCCACCTCTTCATCCTCATCTAAATCTTCTTCGGAGTCGTCAATGCAGCCGCTGCCCTCCTTTTGAAGCGATTCGTAAGCAAGGTTGGCTGTAGTCTGTTTTTCAGATGATGAAGTTGGAGACTGTTGAAAAATACGGCAGCTTTTGTCCTGCGCTAGAACATGACCGGGATTTCTGCTGTTAGCTGTAGCAGAAAGTAATCCAGAATCGTTCATACTTATCGATCCTTGTGAAGCTCGATATTCAGTTAAAATCGAGGATTTAGAGGCACATGGATGCGGCGATGATACCCGACCTGGTAAACTTTCAACGTACGTTTGCTGCTGTGAGTCATTCACTAAATCTCGAGCCAGTCGAGACGCCGCCAGTTGCGCCATATTCTGCCTACCATCCCGATTCCAAATTGTTTCGGTCGCATTAGATCGGATCAGTTGAGTAAATTCGTCAATAACTTTTAGTGTGACTGTGTGGTCGGAGCTGCTACGCATAGAATACGAAACGTCACGTAACATAGAAGAAGAATCTGTCTTTTCTGGCTGCGTGTCAGCCAAGATTGAATGCTGTATCAGCGACTTTAATGGACTGCCATTTGCGTCAAGTACGTTTCGCTCACTGTAATCACATTTAACATTTCCAACTTCTTTAAAATCGTTCGCAATATAGTCGGCGGGCTCTTCAGCGTCACCAAAAACTTTGCTCGGCTCACGTTCATCATCGCTGCTTCCGTCGACACCTTTACGAGCTATAGAAAGCGCCACACAATCTGGAGGTAAAAGAGGAAGTTTGCTTGCCGTGCAGCCCATTTATGATGCTTACTGTTTAATCCCCGACCATCACTTTAAGATGAGCGAAGGATAATGCGATGGGCTAATTCAGGAGATACTAGTTTTAGGCATTTTTAAACATGCACGCCCAAAAAAGTGATACAGTCACATGGTACTCCATATGTCTGAACTATCACTTATACTGCTTGCTAGAATGATGCGCTTGATATAGAAGTGATATGCGAAGTTGATTCTTCCACTGAAGTCGCTAATTTTTCAAAAGCCGAATGTCACTTCAGCATACTGAACACTAGAATGTCGGTGAGTCTATTCAACTGCTAATTGTCGTTGCTGTTACAGTTTTGTAACATCAGAGGCTTTTCTGAACTCGAACGTATTCTATATCTAGGCTTGGAATCGAAATTATGATGTGCAAAGAATGTTGAAGCTGTGTTTGCAGCTGTTGCAGTACTTGTCATACCAAATGGCGAATTCACATGGATCAAATGACAGTAGAATGATTTCGCTAGATTACTGTGCATTAAATTGTTGTTAAAGATACACAGCGCCTTCAAACTGGCGCAATCGGCGCATACCGCAGAAAATTACTCTTTATGACGACCTGTTTGCTCGAGAAGCTGGTGTTTTTCAACAAGCTGTTCAGTTTGAAACATGCGTTTGTGCTGCTGTGCAATTTCCAGTCGCGTATGTGCTGTTTAGTGCTTTGGTCATATGCGTATTCAAGATTGATTGCAATGACTACTTAAAGAAGCGTAGCCGATGTTACGGATGATGATTGCAAGTGGTAGCCAGCATCTCTTGACGGTTTTGATGTTAGCGCAGATGCGTGTGAGTTCGCTATTTCCGAGCACTTTCATACGTCTGCTAGAATGATGACTGAACCTAGCAGAAAAGTATGAAAATATATCTCGTGTCCATGTTGCAAGCTTTCGTTGTATCCCCTCCAGCACGGCGATAATTTCCACCAAATATGCTGTCTGCGATCTGCGCATGGAAGCGTTATCCAACGACCTTAATCTCTCCATCATGCTTTATTTCAAAACGATGCTGCAGTTTTCTATTCAAATTGATCATAACTACCTACTGTTTCAGAGTGAATTGTAATAGTTCAGACTGCAAAAAATTTCGCCAGATTGAGATCTACACTTGCAGACCGTCGAACAATTCGCAATTACTGCTATCTATTAATATAAACTTACCAGCATCATATTGATCACGAGCTTGAAAAATGTTAAAGGACGACTGTATTCCTTGAAGTCCAGAGCATATCCTTGGTGGGCTACAATTGAATAGCTGTGAGCCCTTGCATTCCATGTCAGGACCGGAACTGAGTGGCTCCTATGTCAGAGATAAGAGCAAATTAAAGGCGCGTATAAAATGCGAGACAGAAGGATGATTTATCCTTGTCAAGACACGACTCTTATGCCAAAACCAGACCACCCGTTAGACGTGTCTACTTTGCGAAAAGTGAAAATCCACGGGAAAGCAGCCGTAGTGCTTCTTCTCTGGTTAAAGTAGTGACGTGGGTAGTCCTGGAAATTATATGCGATTTCTTACTACTCATGCTGAAGCTCCTGCTTATCGGGAGAATTATCCCTTTAGGATGAGTGTACGAAATGGTAAGATAGTGAAGTCACCGGAATACTACGGTTGGACCCAGAAGAGGAAGTGGGATCATCATCCGTTACGAATGAATCTGTCGTTGAGGAAACTCGCACATTACTGAGTGCATGGTTAGCACAGCTATCGTCAAGGTTCAACGGGCCCTTCCAATCCTTTGTTGAGGATTCCACGAGGTGGCGATGAGATACTCACTTCGCTCGTTATTCCCAATAGAAGGGATTTCATCAGGTGGGGAAGTAATAATATTGAGTGCTGAAACAGACTAACCGAACGTGTTAGCTTTGACGAAAGAGTACCTCGTGAAACCGACTTGGTTATCAAAACTATATGACCTCTGTCAAGAGAACAGTGTGACGTCATTATGATGCTTTCTTCCATACAAAGCTTTAAATTGTTTTGGTTGTAGAGCCTAAATCGTCACTTCCAATGCCAATTTTTTTGACGGAATGGCAAATGGCCAATAGAATAATGTCCATAAAACCGCAAACAAACCAAAATTTTAGACAGGGAGTGCAGGAGGACAACATATTGCCCTTAACTTGGTTGATGGATGTCCTCAAATGCTTATGAAAGACAGCGACATCGCCTCACTGCGATGGATACTTCCTGCGGAATGCATTGGAAGTGCTCTAACATTGACCAACAAGGGTCTTAGTCATTGCAAGGTCGGTCGGCTCCTACGATTGAGAAGCGTGTTGCGACGGTAGATCCAGCCTTACTTCATGCAAGGTCAAGGCCGAGGGCATGTCATTCAGTAGGGATCGTTAATCGCGCCGTTGAGGCTCAATCGTATGGTGATGCAGCTGTTTCGTCATACGTGGTGATTTACATACCTTTTCCGACCTCGATTAGTCCACGATCACGTAGAGCACGGAGAGCCAACTGCTGAAATACACAGTTGCGAGTTGTATTTAGTATTAGCACTTAAAGAGATGTTTACCGATAGAAAAATGCCTTTGGTACCAAAAATATACCATTTTTGGTTGCAATATCGCTAAAAATATGGGTAGCCGATTGATCTCGCAAAAGCAAAGCCCACTGTCGGTTGGACAAAGCCTCAATTCCAAATAACGTTAGGAATTGACTACAACTGACCAACGAATGCAGTGCGAACTATGCCGACACGACACGGTATCAACCAATCTACATGAAGAAACAAATGAGACTGATATGCGACAAAAGATGCGGTTTCAAGACTGTGAAAGATATAACAGTCGCATGCTTCGGTTCTGGCTCTTCTGAATACATGTCGGCCATTTCATGTTGTCTAAGACACTTTGGCCAGTGGATTTATCCGTGCTTTGTCACGGTAGATGTAGTTGGGCTTGACCGTGTCATCACGTCCATTTCTCGACAGCTCAAATCGAAAAAAAAGAATTACAGCTAAGTGCAATACATAACGATTTGCTTACATTGGAGTATTTTTTTGCTTAGCCCCCAGCTTCCTATATAGACCATGCATTATTACGCACTGCGATGTCGTCGCCAAATCATTCTTCAATGAATGCAACTTGGATTTTTTGAAGAGGATGTGCAATAACGTCGTCCAACTATAAATTGTCGCGTGTCACACAGATGACGCCACCAATGGTCGAACCGAAGCGGGTTAGACGCAGCACATGTGCCTTTATCAAAGATCTGGGAAGCATAATGTTCTAAGATGTAGATGCTGCTTTATCGAAGCGCGGTTATCGTCTGCCCCGCTTTTTACAAAGGCTAGCTAGATCAAAGTAGACGTATCTCGAAGTGGTGCCTCATGATGAGAACGCTAAGTACCCAATACTGTTTGAAGCACATGATATTTTGTCGGGTGGCCATCTTGAAAGAGAAAACGTTCAAACTCAGTGATCACTATGTACGGGTAGCTCTATATGTACAAGCGGATGAGCACATATGTGTGCACAAGTAAATGGTATCACCGGATTATATACTCACCACATGCAACCGTACTTTTAAGCAGCTTGCTGGATTCAGCAGAGCGTCGGTAATCCATAAGTATTGTCGTTCATTTCGCTGCTCAGAAACCGCGGTTGGTAATACTTTTTTTGCTTTTTGTGGCCCGTCTAAACAATATGGCTCATCAGGCTGCTGTTAGTGATACTGTAATAAATAAGGATACGATTAAACTGTTCATCGACAATTTTTTCGTCAACAAGGCTCGCCAGTGGCAATTATATCTGATAGCAATTCGCACACTTGAGCGAACGGGCGGTCCACTGTATTGTAACGTAATTACACGTACCGTCGTATGAAAGGGCGGGTCGAACAAGATGGTGTGACAGTGCATAGGTGTGGATTACACAGGTTGGTGTTATCACACAGTGGTATGGCTACACCGTAACAAGAAGCCACTACGTGGCAGGATTGCCAGTTGTAATGCATATTAGTTAGATTTTACTATTTAATGAGGAAAAGCTAAGGTTTTAGATATAGGCGGCTCTGCTGCAAATAAAACAATTAAACACAGTTTTAATTTTGAACGGAAGAGCGTCTTTTCGCTGGTTAAGGGTATCAGTACTCTTGGAGTCAGCGGGTTGCGGTCCGCTGCACTCGTACTTGCTCTCGTAAAGACCGTAAGGTCGGTGACCTTTGCTTCGCTTCCATTAAGCAAAGAGCTACGGCAGCCCCGCTGCATGTATTCATTGGGTTGGTGGGTGTACCATATTTGTGACCAGTATCTGATGAGCCGGAGGGGATACACTCATTCGTTAATCTATAAAATTGAATTTTCACCTTCGGTAAGATTCACCTGGCACTTTTGCGCTTACACCCTGAGCATTAGTCTCCCCGAAAAAATAAGCTTGGTCTTCTGTCGCAGCATCCTTTTGCGTGCGAGTGAGGGTCGACGTTATGGTGAGTTCAAAACCTGGTCGGTCGGTAGCTGTAACGGTGGTTTCATGCAAACGAGCGAAATTGTAAAACGTACGAATTTGAGGTGGCATTTTTACCTCGACGTCCACATCGTGCCTTAAGGTTTGAATAGTCAAGAGTAGATTGACTCTATTCTCGGACATTCGCTTCAATGAAGCTGGCTTGCATCGATTTGATTGAGAAAACGCATTTGATTCACCCAGGATGAAATTTAAAAACGAGCTTCTTCAGCTTCTCACCAATGCCCAATATCCAAGTACATTTTCCATACAGGCATAAATTTCCCTACAGCTGATGTATTAATTGCAGTTGATAGTCTTTTGACATCACGACCTCTGGGGTCAGAAAGAACGCGTGAAGCAACACTTTGGAGCTCAGCATAAACGCAAGGCCCAACCAATATAGACGTATGTGACCTTCCCTCCAGCGAAGCTAGAAACGTTTGATTGCTTCAACTCTTACGACGTGATAAAATTGGTAAACTGTGTTTGGCGTTTGCGCTTTCAAGCGGAGCTATCTGAGCCAAGTTCAGCCCCTTGGTGACAAGCAGGACATTGACGTGAAGGTTTTGGCGTGTTTTTACAACTTCGAGTGTCGATTTCAAATCAATTTTAACGTTTTCATCCTAAGAGCTACGAAAGTGTGCTTGCCTCATCCTGAAACTGCAGCTTACTGCCGCTTCTGTATTCCAAACTCTGCTCGATGCATCTAGCAACACCATTTGGTGGCGTATTCGGACAAAATCGAAGCTTGTAGAAGATTTATCGAAAATTCGTGTCTGCACCAAAATGACTTCTGCTTCTTGGCGAAATTGAGTCCAAGACGCACCAAAGTCCGCCAGGAGAAAAGTGAGCGCCATCCCATTTTTCAAATTCCAGTCCACCTACGGTTATTGGCATTCTATCCACCTCATACCTGGGTTAAGGTCGTATCTCAGATCCAGGTACAAGACAGGATAACATTTAAATTGTAAAACCCCTCGAATTCAGGTACTAATGTCCCTGTTGCGAAGCTTTAATTATCGTATGAGTATCTGCAGATTAATGTCACTGCGTACTTCTTTGCCTTTGAAAGTCGTGACTGATACGTAGTTCTATAAGAGAATTTATACGAATTCACAGAGCTTTTAGGACGTTAAATTATTTTGAAGCAATAACTAGCAACACCGGATTTTTAACCACCTTTCTACTGGAAATTCTTCAACCAAGCTAATTTTCAATCACTACAACATTTACGAGGTATAGAGAGCCTAATTTTTACCCAGAATACCACGCTTTATATCGCCTATACGAAATCACGTTTGGCAGCGAGGGGTTCGTACAACAACCTCGCCTTATAGATTGCCTCCCCTTCCGGTCAGCCGAAGGCGAAGAGGGCCATCAAAGACCGATGTTTTGTATCCTACATACGAAACGTCTGTGAAAACCACAAAGCTTCTATGCAGCTAAAAAGTTTCTTTCTTCGCATGGAAGAAGTTCATCGCTTCTGACGCGCGCTTAAAGCTTTTTATTACTAAATCTGATCCATTCGACATTAAAATCACTTTAGGCATTGAATGCGATACCCAACATTTTCTCAAAAGGAAAGGAAGGATCTGGAAGGGCTCAGTGCGAGCCTCACAGTTTTAGATACTCTACGTGAGGATAATATTCAATACAGTTTACGGGGGAGGGTCAGACGATATTGCGGCAAGTAACGGGGTTACACATACCCTGGTAATAGGTGTGTGTGTCACATTAGATGGGCATGGTGTGACCACACCCAAACAAGAATATGGTTCGGGGCTGAATAGCAGTAGCTATACATGTAGTCAGATTTTACTTTACATATTTAGAAAAATCTATGCATTTTAATTTAGTCGGCTTTGCCGCAGATAAAAGTAAATAGAGTCAGGTTTTTAATTTAAGCCGAAGAGCTAATTAGCCTTGGGTTAAGGCTATAAATATTCTAAACATAAGCGGATTGCGATCCGCTCAACTCCGATTTGTTCTGATTATAGAACGAGAGGTCAGTGACCTGACTTACTTCCTCAAAGCGCAAAGCTACGGCAGCCCCGCTGCAAGATTAGTCAACTACCAATTCCTGCTACCTGGTAAGGCTGCGCGAACACCCACAACATCTGTTTCTTACACGTTCCATGCTGGGAGCACATATTTTGCAGAAGCGTCGCCCATTTGTGCCCATTCTCGTGCGCGTTCTCTCAGCTTGTCGACCGTGAACACGACGCACTATTCTTATGTCTGGAACGTGGCAAAATTTTTAGTTTTTTTCCGTCATAAGGCAAAGCTTTCCCTATGCCGACTCTCAAGAGACTGGATTCTCAGCACATCTTTCTCACGGAGGTGTCATTTGATATCCGCTCGGCGCTAGCTGAAAAACTCTTGGAGATGTCTCACTAGTGCATAGCCAAGCGGGATTACGTCTCCCGGCAAGCGATTGCCGCATCGTGCCTTTTCGCTACCAGTTCCCAGATCCTGTCCAAACGGAAGACATAAGCTGACTAACTGTCCCGGCTCGATGAATCAAATGTCTCAATCTCACGACTTGACCTTGGGATTGACTACAACTACCTTACACTTTGCGCAGAGGACGTTTGGATGTTAACAATCACACAGCAGTGCAATGTGAGATTCAAACAGTTGTGAAGCATTGTATATCATTAGATTACATGATGGTTGTACGGTGTAAGCACCCAATACTACAGTACTAATTTCGTTTCAAGATGCACGTACTGTCTACAATTTTCTACAGATGAAGATTATTCGTGATGCATCAACACCTTCCACATCTACTCTTTCGACAAAGTGGTGGGTGTTGCACTGAATGCGAAACACACCATTGGGGTCGTGGGATGTGGATACTATATGCGCGCCAGAGGCAATCGACCTCAGTCAATAGAGTGCTTTCTTAATGAACCAGCAAATATCCCATCTATGGCAGAACCATAGACAAGAGCCCTCCGTTTCTCTTTCTCTTCTGGCTAAGAGGTCGTCAGAACAAGAGGTTGGCAACTTTCAACATGCGCTTCTTTCTCCACCTTGCACAAAAACAGCGAGGTCAAATTTTCAGTAGTGGATTTCACAATGCAAAATAATATGACTTTAAATGGTGTAAAGATGGACAACTGGTGATTCTAATATTGGTTAACGAACCGATTTCTTGCTATACGTTAAAACTGCTTTGAGGTAGTATGTATCAGCAGTGAATGCACTTACAACGTATTTCGACATCAGACAAAAGCTTTTGACATCAATTCCGTGATGCAAGGTGTAAATGGCTGAAATTTGGCAAGCATACCCTACGATTGTTGCCTAGGTGAAGAGAATAAAGCAATCAATTCCCGCGGTCACTTCTCGTGAGAAAACATGACTCTAGGAATACAACGCTGATCTCAATCATCTCGTATGAATTCATCAGTGAAAACACATTATTTGGAGAATTTTTTAAATGTCAAAATTGTGTCTCAAGCTAGTGGGAAACGATGCTTTGTGCTCTGCTGCGCGCATATAAATTATATCTAACACGGAAGGAAACACTTGTTCATGCTTATTCGCCTATCGCACTTAAGAAGAAATTATATGGTACATATGCTCCTGTGCGTGTTCAGATTCCACAATTTCGTAGCGTACGCAACTTGCTCACCATATTGTGATGTTTGAGATTGCAAATTTGTGTATGCTAGGATTCAGAGTCACCGAACTTGTCAGGAAGAGATCGTGAGAGAACACACAGGAGTCTGGTATCATATTAGGATCGATTTAAGAACATCTGGTGATTTCATACTAAATTTCACAAATTAAAAAATAGGTGTAAGCAGTCAGATAAGATGGTGAGGCTCGGAAAGGCAGTGCGTATCCCGTATATATCGATGCCAGTCAGTCAAGGCAAAGAAGCTACGCATGATGAAGATGTGGATGGGCCGCAGCTGTGAAAGATGATTAGAAAGAAAGAAAGAAAAGTAATAACATACCGTCATGATCGGGGGGTGGAGGCATACTTTGTTGAATGCTTGCGCCGTTGTATTGGATTGGCTGAAATAGTGTATGTAGAAAATCTCGACGTTGTGTATCCTAGGCAAAATATTTGGTAAACAAAACGCTCCAATGTACTCGATTCGCGTATTCACGCTTCATAATTAATTGACTAAGGTCTATCTATACTTGCTCTAACTGATATTAATTCTAACCGTCATTTCGAGATGGCCACCTTCAGATGATCGCGGCACCCAAAGCAGAAGAGAACCGCTACCTTTTATCGGAATCCCTAGAAAACTTGGTCGCCAACGTTCCAAATACAACGTTTTCTCCTGTAGCTCTTTTACCGTTGATGTCCATGTCACATTTTGCCCACTGTTTACTCGAACGGAAGCAAAAATCCTGCCACCCGAATAAATGTCTACATCGACATTCTTGGTGTCGGTACTGACAAACTTAAGCTCAACTTTGCCATCGCCCTTTTTGGTCCACGTGCCATGACTGTTATAAAATGCCTTGTCTCTCATTGTAAGACCCAATGCATCCTTAGCAGATCCATCGTCAATCTCACCAATGAACTCGGTCGGACCACATACCGACTGAACATAATTAAACGCCGTATAAGCAATACCCGTGGGATCAAGCGCTGATAATGCGAGAAGGCCCATATTAGATATAGACGTCCAGTAATCGAGTTTTGACATGGTTACACCCATATCTGTAGTCGATTTATCGATCAATTGATCGATTATTACGCTCAAAGTCTTTCGCAAGACATCACGCGTTTGGTAAGCAGCGTACGGCTTTTTGGTCGTCAGTAATTCACCCATGCAATTGTTCGTGACAGTTGGAACATTCTCGAGCACGATTGAAGACTGACTCATTTCCGCACGAATATCTTCATTCGTAGCCCATGGGTTCTTTTCCCGCATGTCACCTACTTTGATAATCACGCGGTCTGCAAGTCGCTTCAGTTCAAACCCACACTTGGAGCCAGAATCGATCAATGCTGTGAGATTTGCTATGGTCTCAGCATTTAACTCGTTTGCAGTTTTACTAAAAGACGAGTTTCGAATGAACAGGAGGAAAGAATCCACGGAGCTCATAATCATATTTCGGTTGGTCAATAGCTGCTTGACAAAAATTTCCGACGAGGTTACGATTGTGTCAGCCCAGTACGCATATCGCGGGACGGTGTGTCCCATGCAAGCAGTTATGGCAACAGGGAGATCCACAAGAAAGAGGTCTGTTTGGTATACGGCCGTAAGAATCTCCTCCTTGGTCCCGTTCGGTGTCGTCATTTGCTGATTCCGAATGTAGCGCGAGATGCCTTCAGCAATATTGAACAGGTTGAAGACACACATGAGACTTTTCTGCATCACTTTAGACGTTTCGAACAGTGCGTGAAATAATCCCGAGGTTGCGACACTGAGTACGACGTAACCCGGATTTGTAACCTTGGCCATGATTTCTAATACGCAGTTGTCGTTCTCCGGGATGCATTCAAGAAAACATTCGACAGGGTAGGAAATAGGACACTGAGCCCAGCATTTCTGTCCAGAGGCATAATACCCTCGCGGACACCCGCCATATGAGTTCATTTCGTGCGTCTTACGATAGCATGCTGTGTCTGTAAAATCTCCGATTGTAGGCCCAACCCAATTTGGAGGTACGGACCCATCTGTTGATACATTCAGCTTGATATCCGGAAGATTTGTATACGAAAAAAATGATTCGCTATTACTACCAACTCCCGAGTCTGAATCTGAATCTGTAGGAGCTGAGTCCGGCTTTTTCTTTTCCGGCATCAATAACGTGTGAAAATGCGCTGAAGTGGTCACGGTGTTCTCGATCTCATCTCGTCTGCTTTCAGAGCTGTTCGATGTCGCATTAGTCATTACGGAGACCGCGTTACTGGTCTGTATATGTAAAAGTATCGCGATCTGTATCAACAATGCCGGCCATGCCCTCGACATGCCCGGTATTCCCGAAGTTGTCGCGTGAGTGGCAATGTAACTTCCTCGATGACAATTCGACTCTGATGATGGTAGATACCGGTATCAAATTTTACTGTATTGGCTGCGATCAGGTTTTTGAGTGGTGACGGAAGTACAGATGACATTCATTGTTCTAGTCGTGCGGTATTTTAAAGTCATGCTATAATAGTTACATTGATTAATCACATTGATTCTCTTATATCGGCTCAATGACGATTACAGTGCTACATTTGGAATTGCACGCACAGGCAGATGCATACCCTAAACCGTATCTATACATGAGGTTTACGACTTTCTTCATGTTTTTCGAGCATCATCTGCAAAATTTAAATTAAGTATTTTACCTCAGTAGCAATTATAGCTTTAGAAAACTCAAATATTTCGAAATGCAAATCTTCTTTGCATTGCGAAGATAAATATGCAGATTGCAGTTCAAGAATGCTGAGCGGCAGAGACTTCAGATAAGAGTGTGAACTCAAGAAAGATGTTTGATATTTCTTGTCGCTAAGATGAAGATTCTGCAAATTCAAACTTTCAAGAACTTGGCTTCGATGAAAGAATGCAGCTCATTCAGAATCCTATACTTAGCATATTTCAATGACTTGATCCACTTCATTCGCATCAGCTTCGGACACAGTATTTAAAGCAGTTTTGTACGACGGGGAAGCATATCATCTAGCGAACACGCATAGATGGTCTTTTGGGCGACTTGGCTTAATTATTAAATGTCTTTTTTGCTACACGAACACAACTACGTTGTCAGTTGCTGCACCTTACGAAGCCAATAAAATGTCGAAACTAACCCCGTCAACACTCATTGCAACATAGCCACTCAATGCCCACTTGATTGTTTAACATCGTTCCCAGCCGATTTAAGTTGGATCTTGAAAAATGAACAGGCACCAATCGCGCCTGCACACCATATCATTCTTGACGAAACTAGTTCCATCAAGGCAGCAGGACATCTGCATGCAAGGCAAAAGAGTCCTCAGCGTCAAAGGCGAGCCAACAACGCATTCATTTTTACTGCATAGAAGCAAGCACCAAACATCTTCCACGACTGCCAGGGCTGAAGAGAAAGCATTGTCAAATCCACAATATTCCTAAAGTTGTTAAAAGCCAGTGCGAGTTCTATTATTGCAACAGTTGTCACCTCCTAACATCGAAACCAGTGTATCCCAACAGCGCATAAGAAACTCGAACAACATCCTCTCTTCGCTGAAAATATGCGTGGAATCAGAAAACATAGAAAGAATCCCGAAACATAATCTCCCATCCAATGTGCCATGTGGGTTAGCCGTTTGTCCCAATACGGCAAAATTTGCCAAGCGGACAAACTGCGAGTTTATGTGAAGTGTATGTTCATACCACTGCATGAATTGAGAGCAGACTATACCAAAGCACTCGTTAACAATACCCCAATTCACGATCTCCCTTTGCACACATACCTTTTGATAAATTCAAGTACTCGATAACCCATCGCGGAACGCCGTCAAGAACGAACAAGTACAAAATAGATGCTATCACGCCAAGTACGCCGTTACAAACGTCGACTGCAAAACCAAGCTCAACGATTTCGCGCACAGCAAATCGCGCATGTCTTCACGAGTTCAAGTAAGACTGACGTGCTGGAACCGTTTTGTTGAGAATCAATCGTTTGAGTCTTTTAAATTCATCAACGTTACGAAACGATACGACGTCGTGTTTTTGGTGGTTTTGAACGCAGCTTTCACCCAATTATCTCGAGCACATTATAACTTCAGCTTCGTTTCTTTGCGATTTAATCGTGTTAAAATCAACCAAGGATCATTACAAGAGTCGCAAGAAGAAAGGTGCCTCTATCAGCATCGCTCGGTCGGGGGATCAACCCATTGAAGTACGGGTCAACCTCACAAAGGCATTGTGATTGGGGTCCAGCTTCGTCCGTTCCTCTATCGTGCCACTCTTTTCTAGCACCCCCAACGAAAATGACCGAAAAAGCAGGATTGGCCGCCTGGATGAGATCAAAGTCGGTACTTCTGACAACATGTAAAGCACTTCGATGCTAATTTGAACGCTTTTTCCCGCTACTAATGTTTTCTCATCTTCATCAAGCCTTCCATCTTGCGGATATGATAATACAATCAGTCGAAGCCTTCTTTAATAATTACTTTGATAACCGATAAGTCGCTCACACTTGTTTACCATCCACGCATCTCCCTCGTCTCCTTTCTTGGCGAAAATCAGCTTCAGCTTGCGCGCAGCACATGTAATGTCGTTATCCTCTGCTGAGTCGCATTTTTAATTGACAGAGGAAATCGCATTTACCATGGGAACAGCTTCTTTCTACATACACTATTTCAGCCAATCCGATATAACGGTGCAATTCAATACAAGCATTCAACAAAATACCCCCCCGATCGTGACTGTCTGTTATTACTTTTCTCTCTATCTTTCTGATCATCTTTCACAGCTGCGGCCCATCCACATCTTTATCATGCGTAGCTTCTTTGCCTTGACAGACTTGCATCGATATATACGAGATACGCACTGCCTTTCCAAGCCTCACCATCTTATCTGACTGCTTACACCTAATTTTTAATTTGTGAAATTGAGTATAAAATCACCAGATGTTCTTAAACCGATCCTAATATAATACGAGACTCATTGGTGTTGTTCTCTCACGATCTCTTCCTGACAAGTTTGGCGACTCTGAATTCTAGCATACACAAATTTGCAATCTCAAACATCACAATATAGTGAGCAAGCTGCGTAAGCTACGAAATTGTGGAATTTGAACGCTAGGAATTAAACAGGAGCATATGTTTAATATAATTTATTTTTAAGTGCGACAGGAGAATAAGCATGAACAAGTGTTTCCTTCCCTGTTAGATATAATCTATGTGCGCGCTGCAGAACACAAAGCATCGTTTCCTATAAGTCGCACTAGCTTTAAAAACAACTTTGACTTTTAAAATTCTCCAAATAATGTTGTCTCACTGATACATTTGAACGATTCGGCATACTCAGTCACGTATGTAGAAATACATTGGACGTCAGGTAGAAGAAGAACTTTGAGGTTCTAGTTATTACACCATTTGGACTTTTGTAAATGCATAGTGATAGCTCCGACCGGTCATAGATTTTAGTTCTCGAACTGTAGGATCTAGTAGCGCTTTAAGTCAACCGACGTTTAATAGAAAATAGGGGGAAGCGAATCACTTGACTCATGAAAGTGTTGTAGATCACAGTCCTCCATCGCTTACCAGTCATTAGTTTAATCGTAACACTTCACCACTCGTCATACCCTAAGGGTAATATTTTTGTCTTATAAATTGTCTGCATGTGGTCGCTGCCAGGCATAATGGACCCTTTTCGGCTCAAATTTGAATCGCACATCGACGTGCTACGCGTTCGCAAGCGCAGAGTCCTCAACAAGTTGCTTCAGCGTAAATCGGTCATTAGCTGGCTGTACACTTGCAGCGGGACTGCCGTAGCAAAACGCTTGAGGAAGCGTGCTTTAGGCCACCGACCTTTCGTTCTTTACAAGAACCAAGTATGAGTTAGCAAATCGCAGTCCGTTTACTCCAAGAATGATTATTGCCTTCCCAAGGCTAATCGCCTCTTCGGTTTAAAGTCCGAACTGATTTTTATTAATTTTTTATCCTTATTTTAGAAGTTTAGATTTTCCTAAATATACTATATATATAGTAAAATCAAAATACATGCATAACTACTGACTACCGAGCCCCATACCGTATTCTTGTTTGGGTGTGGTCACACCATGCACATATCGTGTGACAAACACACCTGTTATCAGGGTTCGTGTAGCCCCATTACAACAATCAGCTGCTTGAATTCGACGTTTAGAGCTTTGAGCAGATATCATTTTCTAACAATTATATCGTCATGACCGATGCAGCCTTGTTCTCGGCGTAGGAAAGCACATCTTACTTCTTATACATTCAACCGCTTACCATGTTGTCTGTGGTCATCAAATCATCCTTGTCCGTTTTCCCGTCTTGTATTTTGCAAAAGCGGTGTCGCTATGAGCGACCACCATCGACGGCTTGCGAGGCTCTCGATCGCCTCAACTGAGCTACTGGTGTCGTATCGGTATACCATCACCGCTTGAAGTGTCAGCTTTTCCAAACTCTCACTCAACTCGGCAGCGTTCGATCTCTAAAAATGTAAGATGTCCGGAAATTTTTGAATTTCACGGCTGTGATTGGATTGGTCATCAGAATCACCTTCGTGTCCAATTGCCTTGAATCAGATGGTCTCTTGGGAGCCTTTAATCTACAAGATAGACTCCGCCTCCGTAAATGACAATCTCAAAATCCGCTTCTTCATGCTTTTCCAACTGCTATATCCGCCGTAAAACAATGAACGCGTAACCTCTTATACTGCATCGAGTTGCGATGCCACTACCCAATCCACATCTAAGCAGCCTTGGTTTCTTTCTTCACTTGTTGCCCGGAGTTTGATACCGCGTGACTTTATGCCTTGAACGAAGCGAAGCAAGCGTTCGGATGCTTGCCACTGTGCGGGATGTGGGTCCAATGCAAACTATCTATTGTAACAGTGAGGTTTACTCGAGCTCCAATCATGAAGAAATTCAAGCAGCTGATCAAATTGCGTTATGGCGCACGAGCCTTAAGTTTTGTCCTTACAGCCACTTTCGCACAGCGTTTTAATAAGCTTGAGACTTCGGTCTTGATAAGTGTACTGCTTTCCATAAACAAACGCTTTCAGAACATCTTTCGCTGTTCTATGTCAATGCATCGACACATTCGCTGCCAGCATATCTCGCTATGCTCATAACGTAGTCGAGGGTGCCTAACTCCGTCACGTCGATTCGCTCAATGAGCGTCTTCTTTAATGACTTGAACAACTCGGCTTTCTTATTTGCAAGATCCAGATCGCCGACGAAGAGAGCCACAACGAATATGTCTGAACTTCTTGTTTGGTGTGTATGCAGTGGTCGACCGCACGCTTTTTGAAGTCCAGCTTTAACAGAAACTTGTCGATAGTTTGATTCCGCATCCGCGGTGATGGCTTAGGTCTTAAAGCAAGCGCATGAGATGGCAGACGAAGTAATATTGCTCTTCATCAGTTTAACCATCCAACTGCATCAGGTCAAAATTTTTGTTAAGTGGCCAATCTTGGAACGCGGTTTGACGTCCGATTTATCAACCGAGAAATTGTTGTAGCCGCCTGACTGAGCAAAATTCAGATTGTCTTAAGCTTAGCGATCTCGTACAGCGCAAAGACCTCACAACTTCTCGCATTAGCAAGCCGGTCCTCGACTCCAATGCTGTCATTGGGAAGGTAAGGCTCGGTAGACTTGCGAGAATCGGAATAACCAGGTCGACTTCCCTGACCGGAACCCCCACAGCATTGAAATATCTCGCCAGTGTCTTGGTCCTGTTGACGGGCTCTAGCACGTCGCACCTCAATCCATTGCTGTTATGATGTCGCGTCGACAACAAAAGCTTGTTGGATACTACCTTCTTGTTGAGCGCAATATCAGGTGTGACTTTGCTTCTTGCGCAACGTCCGTGGAAGTATCAAGTGCAACAGCGAATACTCCGTTGCATGGCGGATAATCACCATGAGCTTGAGCGACATCCTATCAAGTGTTATCTGGTCCAGCGCGGTAGTTTAGCGCTCGATTTTGTCTCCAGAGACAACCACGATTCTCGAGCACCATTTGCATCTTGAACTTAATGCACTCGTGCAGTAGATGGCTAGATGCAGAAAGCTAATGGTTCTTTAATTTGCAAGACTAGTTGCTATTTCTGAGCCTGTTACTGTGTTTTGATCCTCTGGATATTATGTTGTCATCTTTGAACTCCTTGTGTCTCCTGTTTTGGGCATTCTGTTGTATAATCATATTGAAAACAGTAAGAGTATCGTCAGCTCGTACTGATTATTGTTTCGTCCGCTATCTGATTGATATTCTATCTATCATAGGGGTGTCGCCGCTATTACAGACAAATATGAAGTAAGCATTTATGAATAATCCACACGACCTCCAGCTCGTTACTAATCTCCAAAGCTGCGATCTCGTCGTTCATGATACTCACCAGCTATCGCCACATAAGATATAGAGTTTCAAGTATCCGTCTGCACAACATTGTCCATTACACACTGACTTGGCTCATTCTGCTGTGTGGACTTGTCGGCCAGTTACTACATCCGCCGGCCACAATACACAGCTCTGAGTTATTTGGTCCAAGTTTCGTCTCCTACATCTTCGTGGTCGATCTCCCATTGCGCTTTGCTGAAGGCTCGCGTAAAGGTTTTAAAACAGACGTGATTTGTTTTCTGCATAGGTTTACAAACTCGCCGACTATTTCTTGTCTTGAAGGTAGAGTATCCTAAGGCTCATATTTTACTAGCTGTCTAACGTCTCCAAGGGTTTCACGTTGTCTAAGGTTTAAGCGACACTGCAACTACATTCGATATATCTGCGTCTCTTTAGCAGCGCCTGCATATATTCCTATGCTGCGCCTAATATGCAGAATCTTCTTTAAATCTAGCAGAATACAATAACATGACTCAGTGACTCAGTTTGTACCATCAGGATCAGAGCAGGAAATGTATGCCATTGGTTGTGATAATCTTATTGAAAATATGCATGGCAAACTCAGCCCCATTACATTAAAAGCTGCGGAAAAGGTTGCTTGTAAATCATTCACCAACAATGTTCATGATGGTTCTGTCAATCGTTTTTTTCTTGCCGTTGCTAGCTTGGCTTTGTGCCTGGTCTTGCTGCTTGCAAGTCTGCGCGCTAAGCACAAATTTACGTTCCTATCCTCCCCTCTCAAAATCAGTATCCAACACGAGAAAGACGAATTATACCTCGTCCCGAATAATGCGATAGATTAATCAGAACGCTTAATGACCGCAGCCTTTTTTTTACTCTGCACACTGGACACACGCGGGACAGCCACACAATACACCAAAGGTAATGTACCACAGGCACTTTGAATTTCCATCTACGTGCTCTACATCACGCTCGCTCATATTATGTAAACTTCGTGTCAATTACCTTTCAGCGTCGATTCACTTTGAACGCAATACGAGTTAAATTTCTCTGCAACATCTACTCGTGGGTCAGCCTTTGTAAGCCAGCTTCTATTCTTTTGCATTGAACGCCATAAGTAAGTCGTATATTGCGAATAAGGCGTGAGTCGTCAGTCCATGGTAAATATGCTCCACACAAGACACTTAAGTATGACAAGTCCTCGTTATCGGCTTGCTAAAACCAAGTCGTAATCATTATTTTCTTTAGAAAAGACGCCTGTTGCAGCACTTCTTCGATGTTTATAATGAGCTATCGTAATCTCTACCTCACTTCCAAGTTAATATAAATTTTCCATTTTGCCATAGCTCTGGGCACATAGCGCGTGATTGGTCGACTTGATTATACTTATGGAAAGTATGCGCTCCTTTCACATAAGCCGTTGTCATCATAAAAGTCATGGCAGCATTACGCTAAAACCATTACTTGATCAAACTACATAATAGTAATGACATTTCAAAGTTAAATTGATACCACACATCCCTCATTTCTCGCATCACACTTTGAACTTTTGATCGACGAATTTCAAAAGGAGATCCGGTTTATCGTTAATCAAGCACAATTATATTGAACAAGCGTGAATCCTTCAGATAAGCAACAGGGATGCCGAGCATCTCGGATAGAATAGCATCTCCTAAATTAGTATTCTCATTGAAATCAGATAGAATTAGCACAAAATCTCTTCCCAGCAGCAATGCTAAGAGTTAGGGTAGTTTGTCTGCTCTTATTGTTTAAGAGATTAACATTTTAGAGTGTAGTAACGCTAATTTATATATATATATATCTTCAACCATGCTCAGTAGTAATATATATAATTACTATTTGCTTGACGCGCTACGACCTCTCCAATCCGCAACGCCATCCTCGTGCCACAATAGTTCATCGTAAAAATATACCTCGGTATCATGCTAAAACACTTCTGAGCTTGGCTATATATGAAAGATAAAAGCGACAAAACTGGAAGAGGTATTATCTCCATTACGATTCTCAAGCGACATCATCAACTATAGAAGCAATTGAAAAATATCTAGCTTGACGTACTACGCAATTACTTGGATAAAATAATCTGAAAGCTAAGAAAGGGTACTTTCTTTATGCTTGTATTATACTCTGTACGTATGATCTATTTTTTTATCACAGAATGATAATTCATGCTATGTCTGAACCGTTCCTAATGCGTACTAAACCAACAGCAAAAGAATACTATTGTATTACAGGATTCCTGTAGTATTACAGAGTAAGCTATTAGAATTTCACGATAAAGATAATACACCAATCATTTATACCAATATACAATGGCATTTGCTGAATGTCGCGTATACTTTATGTAATGAACTCGTCTTGACCACCGTTAAATTTGTATCATCGCGCCTTGATGTTGTCAGTGCATTTGTCTTTGATTTGATGAAAGACTAGATATAGCAGTTCCGTATTGTTTGGATGTAACAGTATTCCGCTTCGAATACCGTAATTACAAGCTGAAAGTCACAATTTAGTTAACAACTCATTTCATTGTCAAATTGTGCTACAATTGCAGACTAGACGGTATACAGTACACAAGTACGTTGAAGCTAGTGCGGCTACGAATTATGACGCTATGCAGCGCACATTTAATCCCGAAAGGAAGAATTTGATTGTGATCGTGTTTGGCGGCGATACTTCTCCTGTCGCTTTTTAGCTGACAATGTCTTCGTAGATTGAAAAGCAATGACAATGGCAATACACATGTTCCTGTTCAAATACCATAATTCGTAGCGTACTTCAGTAAGCAGTTCTGAAAGCTTTAATGCGGGTGGAGGCTCACCATAGTTCTTTACCGCTTTATCTAGAAGTGAAAGCACTAACTTGCCTTTTCACTTGAGTTTGCAGATCTTTACATCTGAGATGCTAAAAACCAATCCATAGCTCGCCATTATGAAAGTTTCTGCGACTAAAACAGTAAATTCAGCAATGCTGGCGATGTCAGAGAGCGCAAATTTGTGTTGCTGAAATTCAACTCGCCGAAGTTGCCAGAATTTTCTGGTCACAAAGAAATGGTTCGGAGAGAATTTTATACAAAGTAGATCGTGTGAACAACACCAATGAGACCGGTCATATTCTGCAAACCTTAAATGATTTGATACTCAGTTAAAGTTTAAAGTGCATTCCACCAGCCATTCCAAATTGAAACTGAAGTATTCGCCGTCAGATATCAAAAGAGAAGACGGTTGAGCTTGGAACGGTAGCGCGTGGATATTGATGCGAGCCAGTCGACTGGACTTCAATAAAATGATTAGGCAAAGAAGATGTAGATGACCAAAGGAAACGTGGTAGGGCTGTAGTTGGTCAGGTTAACAAGAAAAGTAAAAGTATACACGCATCAGACAATAGATAAGCCATAGCTTTGTAAACGCTTGCTTTGTTGTCATGAGGTTGTATCGGATGCGCTGAAGTGCGGTATGTAGAAAATATTGTCCCATGGGTGGCAAAATTCTGTGATTTCCTCATGCGCATTCCATCGAAATCCGCGACCAAGTCTGTAGATCAATCAAAGAAAGCCTTCACGGCAGCAGCTGTCGAGATTGCGTAAAGAAGGTAAAGCTGTTTTCTTTGTCAAAATAGGCCATGCGTGGTCATCAAATTCAAGAGGCATAATAAGTAAGGCTCTAATGTGTAAATTAAAATTCCATAGTGAGGAGTTCGTGCGAGGGGGGTTCTTGAAGTAGCTAGAAACGTGAAAAAACATATACACGTTGTGTTAGTTATCCCAACCGTGACTACTGTTTATCAAGCAACATTGTTACTCATCAATTCAAGCAATTTCACATCTTACACCACAGATGTTTCAGCTCTAGGCCCGCGCAAAAAGTGATGCTACTTCCTGCCAGGGCGGGATCGAGCCCACAAAAGCTTCCGCAAGAGATGACTGCGTGGCACCTTAATTCGACTCCCAATTGTCCCATAGAACATGGCAGTCAAGCCTCACCATTCCAACGAACTAGATCACACCTCACTTCCAATCTTGGGGTCAGAAAACACCGCAAGTCGTCAATGACTCATGTATCCGTCGCAAGACGCACATATGCTATATAAGTATTCGGCATCTTTAAAGCTTAAAGTTCTACATGCTGTTTTTGATAATTGTGTGCCATACGCCATTACACATCGCTCCTGATTTATTTTAGGGACTTTTGACGGCATCACAGCGACAAGTAGTTGACGTTGACAGCAAGTCACCGTAGGTTCTGCGCTCAAGCTCGCTAATACGAAATCGACCTTTTATCGCGGTTCTTACTAGCCTATTTCTTCACTTGTTACGATGGGACTGACCTCGTTTAATCCCGCGCGCAAAAGGTCTTGACGGCTCCCCGCGATAAGGTTGATAGATGATCTCGCATGGGGACCGACCTTTGGTACTCTCAATTGTGAAAGAACACACAAGGAGCAGATGTTTGATTTTTTTTTATAAATGTAACATTTACAACTTTCGGTAGCTACGAGATCTCTCTGATTCTAGTATGACCATAATTTACTTCGTCTGGCGGGCTCGTTGTACCTTCATATTCCGTAATCCAGTTTCCCGTTTGACATCACAGTTTTTCCCGCGTTTAATGGGACACCTCGAGTAATTCGAATAGAGGCTGGATGGACGTTAAATAGATTTAGATATAAACGGCCCTGCTGCAAATAAAACAAAAGGAATACAGTTTGGATTTCGAACGGAAGAGTGCATTTGCCTTGGGTTAAAGTTTTGGTTAGCGGATTGCGACCCGCTACACACATACTGGTTTTAGTATAAAACGTTAGGTCGGTAACCTTAGCATAAGTTCGTCTAAGCAAAGAGCTACGGCAGCCCCGCTGCAGTAAGCCTGGTTAGGCAGTGCGAGCACCAGCAGCATCCTTTGTCTGCTGCTTCAGCACTTACTATTTCGGAGATGCCTTATCCGCCACCTGAGTATCGCGCGCAGTATCCAAGCCCGGGGAGTTTTTACGGCGCGCTAATACTCCGTCTTGAGCAATACCGTTTCAACTCCTCTCACCCAGGGACAAGGATTTTTCCTTGGTCTCTCTTGTAACGGGGTTACACGTTCCCTGGTAACAGGTGTGTGTGTCACATGAGATGTGCTTGGTGTGACCACACCTAAACAAGAATACAGTAGTTATGTATTTGTTAAGATTTTACTATATATTTAGTATATTTAGGAAAAACTAAACTTCTAAAATCAGGCGCTTTGCTCCAGATAAAAATGAATAAAAATCAGTTTTGAATTTTAAACGGAAGAGCTAATTAGCCTTGGATAAGGCAATAATTACTCATGGAGTAAGTAAGCGGTTTGCGATCCGCTAGCTCGTACTTGTTCTAATTATAGAACGAAAGGTCGGTGACCTAAATTACGCTTCCTCAAGCGCTAAGCTACGGCAGCCCCGCTGCATCTCTCCTCAATTATTTAGATGCCAGCAAAAAGCGTTTTCACTTTAGGAAGACGATTTTGTTTCCGCCGATGATTGGCTGCGCACCCTTTCTGAAGTTGTGCCACCAATATATTCTAAGCGGTGGTAGCTTCCAGCCAGCAATTTCCGCTTCTGACCCTTATATCCCTTCGCCACCCTTGATATGCCTTACCTTAGTAAGCGTGCTCAATAACTATGCAAGCAGATAGTTGAACAGCTCGTGTTGTCTATTTTCACGAGGATACAGTCTTTCAATACTTCCGTCGTCAACTAAGAATCGTATCAAAACTTAGGCCTGATTTATGCTTGTAAAGGCTCCATATTTTTCAATATTCAGTTAAAGACTACTTGTACTGCATGGCGCGAGGCCAACAGCCCATGTGTTTTATTAGCCCTCCTTTAGGGGTCCTATCGACCTCATCAGTATCAATACTTCGATTGTTCGATAATTATATAATGTAAACGTACGTCCCCGTCACATCATAAGGACGCCATTCAGATATCTTTCTACAATCGGATTATGATTCATATAATCTACCGCACTGTTATGTTTTATTCCCACTTTGCGTTCTGGTCCTCCTGAATACCAGCATCGTATAGAAACATTGACCGCAGAATTTGCTTATCATGCAGCGTTTAATCCAATGTGAACATCAAACCGTCTTGGAGTGTGGTCCCTGTAATTCCTGACTGATTATTTCTTGCGTGCAAAACGCCACCCGCCGACTTGTTCATGAATTGTTATCCCAGATGAAATGGCCAACTGATAGCTATAATTTACTCACCCTGAAATCTCCCTCGTCAAAAGCCTCTGTTGAGAAAAACTTATCACAGATGAAATGGACAACTGGTAGCTATAATTTACTCAAGCTGAAATCTCCCTCGTCAAAAGCCTCTGTTGAGAAAAACTTCTAGGTCTCAGTGTTCCAACACTACATATCAGCGACATATGAAGCAGCGATACAAAACCCATTCTTTTCTAATATTGTCGTGTAACCACGTCGAAAAAGCTTTGCTGAGACTTCACTATTGACCGTTACCATCGCGTCGTCTCCTTTGATGCTAATTATGATCTGCGCCAATCCTTAAGCATGAGGCAATAGAATGCGTTCAAACTTTTCCAAGCGCATTGAAGAGTCCCAATCACGAAAGCGCAAGCAAGAGGAAAAACAGGTTGATGAGGATGAAGTGCCAGTGGTTTTCAAAGACGATCAAAGTCTTGTTCAACTCCACGCCGAGACGACGGAACTTTTAAAACTCGTCAAGACTACACCAAAAAGGACCGAGAAACTCGTACAAAGTGCTGGCACTGTGGGACGAGAGACTTTACTGAATAAGGCTGAGGAGGTCGAAATGAGACGTTTGATTGACGTAGGACCCGATCAAGATCAAGCAGTCAATATTGTAGAACCTAGTGCCCCATTCTCGTTTAGTGCTGAAGAAACTCGAGTCCGTCAAGGTAAAGATACGTTTTACCCAGACATGCGACCATCAAGATACAGCGTTGAATGGCAGAAAAGCAAGTACGAAAGGGAACGAAATCGACAAGAAGAGATCAAGTTACACGAACGTTTAAAACTTGATCAACAAATGAGAAATAGACAACAAAAACGCGGCATTGTGAATCGACTTGACAAAAGCGCAACGCTGATTCAAGCAACTTTTCGAGGATTTTGGTCTCGTCAGCTGTGGAACAAGCGACAACACGATGCTGAAGCTGCAAAAAAAAACAATGAAGTCAAAACTATTGCAGACCAGTGGCATGAAGTTCGCGATATTGAGCATAATGAGGTCTGGTACTATAACGCAACTACCGGAATAAGTCAGTGGGAACCTCCTACCGGATCAACGTCAAATTCTGCTTTCAAAGTATCTGCTTCGCTTCCCGTGTTGCACAAGAAAAGTAGTACAAACAATGTAGTGCAAACTAATCAGCAACGGCCAGTGCTTGGAACTAAAGAATCGGACACGCTCCCATCTCTTTCTCCGTCTTGTTCGTCTGCTCGCTCTACAGCTAGTGATCAGGAACAGCAGTATCAACTTTCCGGATCCCATTCGTCAAAATATGGTCAAATCCTGACCAATATGCCGCAAAATCTACCTGTTTTGAAGCCAGAAGGTATGCCATTGTATTTAAATGCATGGGACTGCACCTCAGTGCTGTCATCTGAGCGCAGTGCTTGGAGCGAGCAGCAACAAGATGATAATCGAGAGTCGAGAAATGAGGAGAAGGAGCTACTGTATTGTCGAGAACGAGCCCATTTTTCTCAATCAAATGAAGAACGAGATGATGAAGGCGATGATATGAACAGCGACTGGCAGATGACCGATACATTCTTTCGTGCGGATGGGAGCAAAAATAGCAATCTACGTGACACAATTCGGAAAGCACTGCACGTGTCTAAATTCGACTCGATTTCATCGCTTCTAGCTTCAAAAGTTGCATTACGTCGCAAAGCTATAACAAAACAGTCACGACATCGAAATGCCTCGCTAGGTACCCGACGGGAAATTGTTCTTGGGAAACGTGAACAACCAGTGTTTGTTGCTGTTTTGGCTCGTCCAGAGGGTAATCAGTTTTATTCTGAATCTACACAAACCTTACGAAAAAAAGCGAGCAAAGTGCCACATATTCGCGATCTGGCCGATCCTGGTTTTTACGACCAAAGAGTCCGGCAAAGTCGGGTAAGAGAAAACTCTACACAGCAAGATGATGATATTGAAGTCACAAAAGCACGACAAGAAGCTGTACGAATTTGTTTCAATTGCTGGTGCGCTAGCAAGGGACAGCTCTGTGACTTGCATCAAGACCCGAACGAAGCAATACGAAAGGTGCGCAGTGCAGACAGTGCGCTTATGTGTGGTAATTGGGAACTGGATCAATTGCGACGCAAATACCGAGCAGAAGAGATCCAAGAAGTGTTTCGGAAACGACAGTCATGTTTGCGGTATGATCATAAATCAAAGCAGTTCATTACAGTCACTGAGTGTCGTCATCCGATTTACCGTACAATTGAACAACTCAGTACGAAGTGGAACAAAACGATGCGTCGAAAGTTGCACACACGCGCTTGGTTTCGATCATTTATCGAACAGATTCGAATCAATCATTTACCAAAAGCATTGCAAAGTGATCAATCGAAATCTCAATCTCACTCATTTTTGATTTTAAAAAACACACTTGAAAATGCACGATGGGTTTCCAAGTATTCCGAAAGCGTAAGGGACTTTCATCCCAAAGCGCCCATAACTGAAAAGAATTACGGAGAATCTCACTCGCCTCCTAAACGGGATGTCATCATGATTGATCCAGCCCGTCCGGAAATCTCTAACTGGATTCTTGTCACCGAGTATCTAAAACCAACTGCACTATACAAACCTCGCGTATATGAAGTACCACCTCCACGCTGTGTGCCCATGCCCATAGCATCTTTTGTGAATCGTGTTTCCCTTCCTGCCCATAATATCCACATTGAGGCTGGCCGTAAAGCTAGTTGGCTAGAAAGAGTATCGGGTAGTTTGGCAATAGCTGCTGTGCGCAACGCTTTGTTACATCTTGAAATGAGTTGTCCACTGCCTGGTTCTACGAACGTAAAGCGCTCAAAATGCGTTCAACCATGTGTGATGCTCTTTGCCACCTTTTCACGCAAACCTTGTCGGGGGAATATGGATATTGGAGGCTTATCAGCTCAACTCTTGATCCACATGCTCGTCACCACGTACATTCCAGCACAATTTGGCAATCTGATTGTGTTTGATAGACATGCCGTCTTGCCATTACCATCAAGCAATGAAAATGCCGCGTTCGCATGTCTTGATGTCGACTTGATTACACCAGTATACGTGGAACGCCCACTTGAACACGCTTTGAATCATCGAAGACCTCCATGTATCGTTTTAACAAGTAACGAATTGTGTTCTGCAACACGTCAATTTCCATTAAACCGTCCTGAACAAACGGGAGAAGAAGAAAGTCATGGATTTCGAACGTTCTGGCTTTCAGATCCTTTACCTGTTAGTGATATTGTATCCAGTGCTTATGTTGTACCTACAAATGCGATTTTATCACCGAATCTCGCATCTTTGAATCCAACGTTTACAACCCACGTGGATCGAAAGTATCAGTTCTGTGTCCCTACTACGCGTGCGAATACGCCAGTTGAGTTTCTTCATTTACTATGGATCGGTCGGTCTAGTCGAAATCAGCCACAAACATTCACAACATTAAGCCGACAACAACCAGGTGAGTTCATGATCAAGGCGAATTCAAATGGTGCACTTGGGCCATGTGCGACTGTTGTATATCGTAGTTGGGCATATTTGCAAGATTCTCCGTTCGATGAATTTGTCACAGAAGACGGCATTGCCTATTGGTACGATCGGAAAACGGGTGATACATTCTGGACACGTCCTATACTACCAGCTGAAAAATTTCGCGGTAAAGACGGCGATATTGACGGTGTCGTGACAACTGGAGAAGGGGAAGTAGCCACACCTGGCACTGGACTTGTTACACCACAGTACTCACAAGAGAATTTACGAAAATACATTACGCAAAAAATGGAGGCTCCAGAAGAAATGATGCGACGTGTGAAATCGGTGTCAGCTAGTGCGAAAAAGCACGAGATTGTCGTGGACATAATGCCTGCTGAGGCATCAAGTGTTGTTAAAAAGGGTGAGCTTCAACGTATCCAAGTACCACAACTTTCAATCAAACGAGATAGTACTCGAGCAAGATCTGTGAATCGTTTGACAAAATCACAAGGTCGAATTGCTGGAGATTGTAGTGCTGAAACAAAAATTGCCGAGGAAACTGCAATGCCGTCACTGGATGAGAATACAAAGCAAATGATTGACAGTATCACTCAAGCCTTGGAATCAGCATTTCCGGCGTTGAATCAAGGATTGGGAGCTACGAAGGGAGCGAATGTTGACATGCTGCAACTTGGGATTGGTCTTGGAATGGGCCTCGGTATGCGAGTTCAGCAACAAAACATATCTCCGTCAAAGTTGAGTGCTGCACCTCGGCAACCTAGCCTCGTATTAAACCAAGCGGACGAAGACGAGCAAATTGAAGATTCTGAAAGGTCTGAGACGATCTCGGAAGTGTCGTCAAGAAGTGCATGTTCAATAGCATCAATTGATATTTCTCCGACACCGGATCTTATCGAAGTAAGTGAAGGACCTCACGTTGGAAAAAAGACACCAGGATACATCACCCACGCTATGCCAGAAGTTAAGACATTGCAAGCCCGGAAGCCTGTAGATGAGCGGGATAAAAACACATTAGCTGTCGATCGTATTAATGGCACTTGTGATCAACGCCTTTCTAATAACTTTATGGCAGCTGTTAGCAGTACCAAAACGTGTCGAATGTACGCCAATTACTTACCGATTAGCAAGAATATAAATCAACCAAAAAGTGTCGGCAGCGTGCGACCTCGTAAAGCCTTAGACGATTGGCTTCCAGTTGAATATTCTCCGTGGAGTGCAGGTCGATCGTTATTTGGGACTCAATTTATTGACGATCTTATCTTTCGTCCAGAACTTGTCAGTGAACCTGAGATGATGAAACCTGTAACGACAAAGGTTACAGTACAACAGGCCAAAAAGACTGACGTTGTTTCGCAAGCTGCTAAGGAAAAAGAGCAACTTGATACTTTGTTCAGTCTTTGTCGGCACGGCAAATACGACGAAATTGAGTTGCTGTTGAATAGTCCCGACTGGTCATCTGGCATTGATGTCACGGATGTTAATGGCAACACTTTACTTTCAATAGCTTGCCAGAACAACAATAAGCGAATTGCAAAGCTCTGTCTGCGTCGTGGAGCTGATATTAACACACAGAACCTTAATGGTCAATCCTTACTCCATTATTGTCACGAATATGGCTTTCACGATCTCATGGAATATCTCCTGGACAAGGGTGCACGAGACGATTTGCTGAACAAGGAAGGCTTGACGTGTTATGAAGGGCTTAGCCAGGAAGCTGTTGATGCGATTTAAACTGTTGATACATTAATTGATCACAAGAGTTTTGGTACCAATCAACCGGTTGTATATCGCAGTTTGTATTTAATTGTTGAAATAGTGCAATAGATGCAGGATAGTTGAAAAGCCTGCGTAAAAGCAAAAGATTATAAAGCCGTAGCTCCTTCCAATGTTTTGCGTCTGCTCCAAAATGCGATTACTCTGAATGAATCAAAGGTTAAAGTAAGCCAAACCGATAGTCTCAAGATGAATGACTCACCTGGGTGAGGTTGGACTTTGTCTCATGAGCGTGATGATGAATCAATTCAATATCAGTTTGTTGCTCCAGGATCTTGCTAGCAAATTGACCCATTAAATTTGAAATTTCAGCCATCTTGGACTCCATTTTCCTGTTTCACATAAATTTAGATTTTAAATAGTCGGAATGAAAATCAAAAAAGCCCCACTTAGCATCCTCCAAGTTTTCTTGAAAGTGACGATGCAGCATAACATTTTCCACTCGAAATCGGCGCTCTTCCTCCTCTGAAAACTCAAGCTTATCATTTTGCGAGGTGAACACAAGTGATTGCTGCTGGATATCATCAAAGAAATAGAGAGCTTATCGAAAAGTCTGTCATCTACTTTATCTTCGGAACGCACCGACAGATTTGGTGTTGGCCTTTGAATTTTTGAAATTGAGCGATGACTGATGTCTTGCTTCATTGGCTCTGCTTGTGGTGCAGCGTGAGGCGTTATAGATTCTGTAGCTTTGAGCTTTGTCGGTGATTTTGGCTTTGAATGTGTCGGAGATTTTGCAGTTTGAGGTAAAGTAGCAGCATCTTGAATAAATTCTACCCTCTCAGGATTTGATTCTGAGATCTCTTTCTCTAGTGCATCGAGCTTCTGTCTATCGTCTTCAGATAATAAACTAAAGTATATTGCAGAAAGAGTTACAAAGCACATCATTCAAATACAAAAATCACTAATTACCGTGATGACAGCAGAAACGGCTGCTGGAATCTTCTTTTCTGCATTTGTTTTGCACAATCCGCGATGCTTTTTAATCGCTATAAGTATCATACAACAAAACTTTCATACTCATCTCTGGTAGCTCAATCAGTGCAATTTCACTCACCTCGAACAAATAGGCAACCACTTCACTTCGATATGCTCCGACACTAGAAGCAACAGCTTCATTATAGCTTTTGGTCTCTGCTTCATTAAAATATTTCCAATAGCTCAAAGTACTCACGTTGAGACTTTACCACCTCTTGAAGCTCGTCAATGCGGCAACTGCAACTCTTAATCAATTCGACCCAATCCTAAATATAATTGAAGCAGTATCAGGACCATATTTACAAAAGATTTCTCCTCTTTATCATAATGTTATTACTGCATCCAGCTCATCCTTGTCTTTCTCACTCATACGTGATTCTTTGATCCGAATAAACAAAGTCGGTAACAAATATTGAGGCCTTACGCGACGTAGCAAATTCTCAAGCTCCAGCAAGCTGCTAAGCTGCCAAAAATTACAACAGAAGTGTCAATAAAGTGAAATTCGCCAATTTAGCGGCAAAGAGGTTCAAAATTTTACCAGATCCATCGCTTCTACTGTGAATGCGTCGGAATTTCTAGGAGGTTGAGGGCGTGCTGGAGCCAGCTTGCGAAAACTCGCCGTAACATCAACACGCATCAGTTTGCACACCGCACGACAATTAGTCTGTTGGTATTTAATTCTAGCCAATGGAAATTCAGAAAGATATCGAAAAGTAAATCGTTGCAACAATGAGTATGAATAGACCGCGACAATGACAGTCACATCCTTCGATTAGATATACAGCACGCCTGCGAGCGGCAGCATGTAACTGATGAAAGAGATAGCGTAATAGGGGTATGTATGTTTTTACAATTGGTACAATACAATTGTACGAGAATCAAGTTGCAACTGTGATGAGAAAGTGAGCTCAGCTCTTCCTCCGCTGCTAGCTTTACCGATTATATGACCTCACTGTCGTGCGACTCTTGCATACGTACCCAAACAAAAAATTTCGAAATCTACGGGCTTTTTCCTGGTGTAGTGAGAGTAGATTAACATTGCTGCTAACACATTAAACTACAATACTTCTCCCAGTGAATGCAACGCGAGATTCATTGCCTCAGCAGTCCCATCGAACCGGTGAAAGAGAATCTGTAATATGAATTAGCATTTCAACCTGCAGCTCACAGCCCAGTTTTCTCGGTTCCGGACATCGATATCCGAAGTCTATTCAGTTCTTTCAGCTGCTCGCTCCGGGAGACCGTAGTATACAGAGCATCTCACCTCACTTGTCTTAAAGAACCTTTTCCGTGAAATACGGTTGGTAATATCGGATCACCTAGGGACCGTGGCTTATGGCCACTTCCGCCTTTCTATCTTTAATCAGGCTTTTAGCGATTTCGTTGCGAATGTCCCGGACGATCCAATGCCGTGCACAAAAGCTGCAGCAGGGCTGCCGTAGCTTTGCCCTTTGAGGAAGCGTAAGGTAGGTCACCAACCTATACTTAAAACAAGTACGAGTTTAGCGGATCGCAATCCGCTAACTCCAAGAGTAATTATTGCCTTATCCCAAGGCTAATTAACTTCTCCGTTTAAATCCAGAAATGACTTTATTTATTTCTATCTGCGACAAAGCCACCTTATTTTAAATGCATAGATTTTTCTAAATATATAGTAATCCTAAATTCATGCATAACTACTGGCTACCCAGCAACGTAGCGTATCCTTATGTGGGTGCAGTCATACCATGCCCATCTCGTGTGACACACACACCTGTTACCAGGGTAAGCGTAACCCCGTTACAAAAGCTGTTGCAATTCGCGTGCCCCTACTTCTTGAACAGGTAGATCATAAGTCATAAAAGCTCAATTTGGAAGAATGTGGAGGGAATACTGCGTAATTCTAACTATTTTCGTCTTACAGCTGATCCATAGCTCATGACGCACAAGTAGGATCAAACCTTAGATTCAAATGTTTCTCCATATAAACACTTTTCGCCCATAGAGATACGCTGGGGGCACAGGGCAGTCTACTGAGAAAACAGAGCTATCTACTACTTCTCGCAAGAGCATTTTCTTGCTAGCTACCTCTTGGACTGCTTATTGTGCTTTCCCCACGGTGTCAACTCAAGAAAGAAACATGTCAAGCTTGTCCATTCCAACCGTCAACAAATCATGTTACGTTCTCTTTTCATAAAAAATTCAAGAGAAAAGAAGAGAAGAATTTATTTTACTTAGTCGTTGGATTCACGACAAGGGCGACGGAATTGTGGTTAAAGATAGGGATCACCGGTCACCACAAACGTTTCAGACTAAGATCTTCTCAGGAACCTAGTGCGTACACTTGATCAAGTAAAAAAAACTGATTTAATAAGCTCATCATTAATAATGATACTAGACATTTATCGGCTATGAAAATCTAATTAGCGCGTTTCTTTAGGATAGCAGCTCATGTGGCATATGGATCTTTCTCTTTTCACTGTGCGCATTAATCAGCATACTTCATCATCACACTTGACCGCGATAACTTTGAGCTTTACTCTGAGTCCGCGGGACAACAGGGTAATGTGCCCGTAAATCATAGTAAAGAAGGTATCCTACTAGACTTATCACCCCCGAATCCGACAAAACAAAGCTGGTTGTGGTCATTGTGGAGACCTTAAACCGTGGAGAACACCTTACGCTAGTGTTTTATTGCTTTTGAACAAAGAACCAAGCTCAAAAACTCAAGTATGGTATTACGATGAAGTATCATGATAAGTACTGGGACAGCTTGAGCGGTAGGTATTATAGAAAAAGACCTCTTCAAATCACGTAGGCTGCTGACTTCACGATATGATTATAACCACAAAAAGATATAACTACACTTGCGCTTATGACAGGAAATCATTTGGCCCAAGAATCTGCATTTATGACGCACAACGCTGGGTTCGTACGCTTCGCCGGAAGCTAGTGTTACTGTGTGTGTAATGTCATCAGTTGCATATGTATAGATTAATTTTATCAAGTCATTCACTTTATTTAATAGATAGGAGCTTTACTGCTTGACGTATGGCTCATTGTCCAGGTGCCACGGGCCCGTACTATACTTATTCCCATCTCCCAAATTTTCACGAATTCCAACATATAATCTGGATTTTGTGAATTTGTGCAATATTGCATCGTACACAATCGCAAATATGTGCTATGCGTACAGGATGTGGACCACACTGGCGCTGATATTTATCGTGATTCATGGGACATAACACGATAGTAAACACTAAACAAGCACTTCTGCGCATGAAGTCCCTCAACTCTCCTAGTAAATTATAATACCTGGTTTTCTTAAACTACTCGCAGCGTAAGCCTCTACCTTCACTACCCACATATTACTTAAGGGGCCCTTGAAAAACGAAACTCTCGCGTCCAAAATCTTCGGTCATTCTCAGGGAAAGGCGTAGGTGTTCTTCGCCGATAACAGTCGTGGGAATACTTCAATTTCAACCCAGACACTTCTGCCTTCACCGAGATACATTCGACAGAGACGTTGATTAAGAAAGGAGTTCACATCGCTTTGCCTCGGATCTGGACAAAAAATGCATTTCGTTATCGCTTTACGGCGAAAGATGTTGTGACACTCGCTGCAAAACCTTACAACAACGTTCTGCCGGTCATCCGCCAGCTCAACAATCGTACTGATTATTGCATGATCGATCACGCCGTGATTTCAATAAAATCCAACTGACGCGCCTCGCCGCACCGTGTCGCGGCCGTCGCACGCTAATATAAATGCATAGCGAATACTTCAAAGTCTCCACGCAAGCGTTTTTTTTACCCCACATGTCACAAGACCACAGAAATACAGCCTGTACTTGGAGCAGCAGCGATTTTGTACACCTATACCCTCCGTGAGAATGTTACTATCACTTACTGAGCGCTGGCAAAAGTACCAAAGAGTATCGCGCTCCATTCGCGCTTCGGTCGAAAAAGACACGTCACTTCAACCAACTTGCTGCTATACAAGCCAGCTTCGTGAGAGCATATATAGGGCAAGAACGTCGTAAGGTACTTAGATTTCGATATCCGAAACACGATGTTGAAATGTGGACTACCGTTTCCACAAGTTCTTGATGTTAACAGCCCCGCTTATAACCGTGATTCAGCTTTTACAGCTATCGACTAAACTCGAACTTAAGATAAGGTCTGATCACATAAGGTAGTAGGAAACTCCTTGCGTTTGATGATCTCGACACAATTTTTAAAATTCCATTCCATTTTATTCCATGTTACAAATATCATGACTTGGTCACCACGCGTGCTGCCACTGGATCGAGAAGTTTAATGGATTTGGCTTGGTCTCTGAACCCGAATTCATCATTAGCGGCAATGCTCTTTAACAAAGGATAGCGACGTATTTGTCGATGCATATCACGAAATGGTTGCGAGGTAAATAATGAATCTTCACACTTTGTACTGTTTTAGTCAAAAAGGCTAACGATACGTGGCGAATTGTGCATAATTTTAAAAAGCTAAAAGCAGTTTTAGTTCCGGTGCAAACACCGATTTTTTGAAAGGATGCGCCTCAGAACAGTATGGGCGGCTGGACTTTGCTCGGTGCCTTGATCTAAAATGGTGTTCAACATCAATTTCTCATGATAGATGATGATATCCAGTGAAACTCCTCTCATTGCGACAAAGCCCCAAGCGCAATTCTGTGAAAGTGGCTAATTATGACACAGAGACTATCTGATACACCAGCTACAACAAAAAAATGACGACGCCGCTGTTCAGGCCACAATGTTGCAATTGCTTGACAATATTTTGCTCGTTGTCCGGGATATTACGGGGAATTAAACGTGAAGTATCACGTTTAAGGTTTGAGAATAGCTTGAGGGCATGCACTGAAATAACAATTGTCAGCGTAGCGATGTGTATACTTTGCGCTTCGGTTTTTTATATGTAGCACGAAGGCCATTGTTGCTTGGCCAGTGGCTCCGATTTACCAAAAGAAATGGCTTGACAAAGCAAACTACGTGTATAAATTTTACCAACAATTCACACTACTTGTCTTAAACAGCATATCAAATGGTGCTGGAACGTGGCAAAATTGGTTCAATCCAAAGCCGAGAAAGAAAAACTCATGCAAGTCTTACAAATGTCATTTCATGCCGTCCGTGACGATTAAGACCTTGGCATAGGCTGTTCTCCACATCAAGCAGATGTCGATGGACGTGAAAGCGAAATTGCGCTTGAATATCGCCAGCTTACAACTGCAGAGCGATACGTTTGAGTTCATGACAACGATAAGTACGCTCCAGTCAACCTCAGAGCGCACCTGCTTTTCTCGAAACTGTTTGATCTGTGCAAATAATGTTTGCCGGCGACGAAGTCTAACATCTCTCACCAAAATTCCAAGATGGTGATTTCATCTTTCGGGTATTACTTCGGTAGAAATCTAGTCGAACCAATGTGTTCGCGGGTGTGTTTGCGTGTTTCGATTATGAGCTATCGCATATCAAGATGGGGACGCTTATATTTGCAAGATAACGTACGACGTCGAAGTTGCCAAAAATGGAAAGGTTGGCTAAAATTGAGAGATGTCGCATTTTATAAATGAGCTTATAATTAAAACGCTCGCAGATCACTCCATCAGAGAAGGTAGATAGTGAAATCTTAGAAAGATAAAAGCCAAGGGTGCTCCCAGTCATAAATTTCAATGGCATCAGCGCAACCTTGGCGAATTGAAATCTTTACTTCTGAGGACGTGTTGGAGTTATTACATCGTTTCACTTTGCCAAGGAGCTCGATATATCCCTTGTGAGCTTTCTGGTCCACTAATTTTCCCTGTAAAACGTGACCAAACATATCCCATCGAGCAGTGCTTGTAGAGAACGGCATTTTCGCGGCTGGTTCCCGTAAAATTTATGGCTACTTTGACACTTTCTGAGGGTCCTGGTGTGCGTTTAATACTGGAATGAGCAAATTCTTGGACGCGCTCTCTGGGCTTCGCCATGACTGGCATTTCCAATGGTTCAGAACTCCATTGATGCTATAGTGGTGAGTACACTCAGCCGCAATGGATGAAGAGGCTGTAAGAACGCTTTACACCCGACTTCTTTGAATGATTTGAATTATGGTTTTGCTTTTGGAAGCCTACGCAGATTACAGGATGTGTTCGTTCTCTTCGGGTTATTAAATATAAAACTAACGTCATTTCTGAGACGATGCAGCGTGGTCGCACATTAGACTTACTAATCGCAGATACATCATGTTTGAGTAGGTTTAAATCGTTTACAAAGCTTTACCCCTCACCCTGTATTCACAAGTAGTTTGTTTACCTGGTATTGGCATGTTGTTGTTACATATATTGGCTCTTATTAATAGCATCGGTGCTTGACGCTCAACCCCATTGAGACAAAATCTGTGATGTTGCTACGAAGCGCAGCTGGGCTGACAGCGAGTCGAATTGAAAGTCCAGCCCTCCCTTACCAAGATTGAAGCTACCTAATGGCGGTGTAGGAATGAATCAGATCATTTACATAGTTGAGGTCAAGTCAATACCGGTAGACTACAAATTCTTTTTACTACATTTATTGCAATTTAAACGAGAGGTGATAATAAGCTTTAGCACCATGGTCTCTCCCCGCATGTAACTCGGAGGATATTCTTCAACACGCAATAACAGCACTTTGTCTGACCATCTGTCTGCGAATGACCAGTGATTACAATATTTAACCTAGTGTATGGCGCCTTAAACAAAGCTCGTCTGTAAATCGCTGATCTCAATCCTGTACAATAGCACCGGAAAACTGTTGGAGAAAACTCTGTCACGAAATAGCCTGACTATATCTTTAGGAAAAAAGGTGTTAGAATAAGACATCTTGCTGAGATAGTCGACAAAGACCGCGCTGCCAAATGTTTTTTTTTAAACAAGAAAAATCATGAGCGTGTTGGCTGCCAACACTCTGCCGGGACTGACACGCTGGTCAAGAAGCCGCAGCCTGCGGCGATATCAAAGCCGTCGAGACGGAACACACGGGAGCAAATATGTGCTTGCACATCTCGAGCCACAAATTTACAGCGCACACCATTCAGTTTTTCTACTTTATCAAGCTAGGCATACTTATACACCTCGTACAATATTTCGTACGTGAGGTCCTCACGATTAGGCACCACCAAATATCGAGTCAGTGCTATCGACACAGCAAACCATGTACTAATAGCGACGCACTCCCGAGCCCTTCGATAAAGCGGCATCTGATTTCGTAAGCTTCGTGCCTTTTAAAGATTTAGCACCGGTCGGGACCAGCCATGCACTTACTATCAATATGGCGGATGGCCGCTATCTATTGATAATAGAATTCCTTAAAGTATTGTCAAAGCGATTTTTTTTGCAGGAGTACCATAAAACTGAGTACCGGTCATGTCATGACACATTAAAGTTCGAAAAACAACTGTATAACATGTGACTTAGTGTAGATCACATCAAATTCAACTTTCGTTTACGAAACATGTTGATATTTAAATTACCTGCTAGATACTACTTTTCCGTGAGCTGCCGATAACCTTTCCACCACAAAGGAGCCAAAAATTCACCATCTTCTTTCCAACCCTCTGTCTCTATGACTTTAAGCACAACTTTAGTTGGTCCATCTTCCCACAACTGATTCGCAGCATTGAGTTTTACCCTTGCAATGTCCCATTTGCCAGCAAAGTACGCATCGATTCCTTCATGAAAATTCGAAAAAAACATAGAAGGAATACCTTCCTGAAGAGCAGGATAGATAGTGTCGACACCATACTCGACGGGCTTTTGCCTTCCCTCCTCACTAACGTCTGGCTGAACACCTTCTGATGGATACCGCCCGATATCAAAAGTCCACAAATCCATTGGTATTTCACTGCCCTTGACCGCTACTCGGTCAATTTTTCGACAAAATCGACGAGCTTCAGCAGACAATTCGTCAACAAACCATTCCGAAATTAGCATCGGGACATCAAATTGGCCTGTAGCTGCTTCGAGACGAGCTGCCATGTTGACATTTGGGGATAAATAAGATGCATCAATCTTAAATCTCGAGCCAATAGCGCCTTCGATAGCCCAGCCGATATGCAATCCAAAACCCAAGTGTACCTCAAAACTGTCAAAAGCAGCAAGAAGCTTCGTGTTCATGCAGTATTTGTGCAGTGTACCATGATGATTGGCATTATGGATATCGACTCGCATCTTAAGAATCGCGGTCAAGGCGCTGTCAACAAGTTCCGTCGGTCCAATTCGTCGCATAATTGAGCCTGATCCTAGACTTTTGATATTAATTCCTTCACGTCGTCGAGCCTTTTCAGCCGGCAACATGCGAGGCTTCTCAGCAGAATCTCGTGGGTCACGCATTCCTGGCAATGCTCCATCGCAGATTTTCCACGCTAATAGAAATGCTGAGCCAATGTTCTTATTGGCAGCACCATGAAATATCTTGGCATCACCGTGTACAATCTCCGCAATTGTGTTGATGTACGTGATCACATCCTCCTCTAAAATGCTACACGTTTCAGTGAAGTGTTCAATGATGCCAAACCCAAAAACAGACGTAATTTTTTTGCCCGGTATCATAACATCAAAATCACCTGCACCTCCCATGTTTTTGGCTATAATCTCAGTACCGGCAGCACCAAATCCGACTTGTAATAACCGACCGATCTTACTAAGCGTGTCTTCTAGCATCTTGGTTTCGTAGTCTGTACCATTTAGCTCATCTGTTTCATATTCCTCGCGCTTGGCTTCAGTAGATCCAAGGGGGTTTTGCGCGAGCTGCGTTACAAGACGCATCATCCGCTCGATTGGACCAATAACCATCGTCTCGGCATCTCTCGTTAGCACAAAGATGGAAACAGCAAAACATATCATCACAATAATTGTTTTACCGATGTTAAGATTTGCTGCATTCGTTGTAAACGACGATATGTCAAATGTGACAGCTGAATGGCAAGAACTAATGCTACGAAGAGAATCGCAATCGATACAAACGTCACCGACATAACACCCTAAATTTTCCACGGTTGTAATCTCTGTGTTTCGATACTTCACGCTAGGAACGTCTAATAAATACGAGGCTGACCACCCTGTTTTCGGATTTGTCGTCAAAGTTTGGTTAGAACCAAAGAGCCAATCACTACCGTCGCTATTAAGCGGTTGAAATCTAACAGACTGAAGCCAGGACTTCAGCTGCTCACTGTCAATACTAGCTAATTCCATCTGCACAATAAGTCCGTTCGCATCACGAACGTACTCGTCGACAAGACTTTGTATGTGTGCCAAAGTGACTGATCCAGATTTTTTATAGTCTTGAGTGTAGCGATGCAGACGCTCGAATTGAGACGTCTGAAAATCATCCTGCGTTAGGTCCACTGTTCCGTCAATTATTGGAGAGACGATAATAATGAGAAGCACAAGCACAATCAGCCTTCTCGTCGTCTTCTCCGTCAGCACTTTGCCAATTTTGGAAGGCTCGGAAATCTCAACTTTTTTAGTTTCGCCATTTTTATTCTTCCTAACAACACGCATGATACGCAGCATGCGAAACAATCGAACTAGTCGCACTATTCGACCTGCTTTTGTTCCTGCACGTGATGCTCGACCTGCTTTTAATGCAGCAGCTTGCGATGCACTAGTTGATGTAGACGAACCGACGACTTTGGTCCAAATCCAGTCAACGTCAGGAATCACGGAAAGTGTGGAAATTAGATCCATATAAAACGAAAAGCCTTGTCCACGGTTAAAATAGTTGGGACGACTATACACATTGAGACCCAGCTCAATGAAGAAGAAGAGAAAGAGTGCAAAGAGAACGTTGTACACATGATCATCAGCATTTTTCGGAAATAAACTTATGCGCAAGTCGTCACCAAACAGCGCAAAAATCGTGCATGCTGTCATAAAGGAGCTTACATACTTGTTCTCAACAAAAGCCAATACCTTCTGCGGTCGCGTCAATGGCGCAGGAGGTACTACATTCTCTGGTGCCACTTTATTCAAATTTCGACCGGTTGAGAAATGTGATAGCGTCATTCCATGTTTCAAAACGCGTTTAGGTCCAAGACTATCATTTCTGTCTACTTCAGTAGAGATTCCGCCCAGTTGCTTTACGGGGATCCCCCGCTGGTTGCACGACAAGGGATCCGGCATCTGCGGTCCAACACGCTTAAGTTGGCCCACTATTTGCTCTCCTTCGCCCGTTGTTGCCACCACCACCGAACTCTTCCTCGAGTATCCTTTTGCAGTATTGTAGCGCCACCTTCGCTGTAACGCCGTGCTGCGTACGGAGATGCGTTCGTCCTGGCAAGAGGTCGAACTTCAGATCGGCGAAATAAACAATTCCAGTCTCAGTAAAAATCTTCGTTCGTGATGGTAGTGACTGTAAACGAAGACGCAAGCAGAATGGCTGTTCTTGTAGCAAAAATCGTGACGCAAGGAAAATTACCGAAGCTGCAACTACAAGCACCAAAATACTCCAGCACGTCGCAATCTCATCTCGAATTAGAGCTTTGGTGGAAAACCAACGTATTAGCAATGAAACTGCTGCAGGTAGTAAAGCGGCGACTATTTTGAGAATTCAGAAACAAGAGTCAAAGTCACAATGAATCTGACTTCAATAACATGTGACATGATGATTAGAATTGCTCTATTCGGAAGTATTCATCACTCGCGTCAAGAAACTGGCCTAAAGAAATATTTCAACATTAGTGTAATCGAAGTTAAGTTTGAGAATCCAACGCTCGTGAGCTGCCAATTCATTTTGTTTCTTCTGCGTCAACGATGCGAAGTATGGCTCTAGCACAGCGCCGAACAGCATCTAGTGGAAATGCGAAATACGATCGCAGTGTGAATTCTCATTGCAATTTATGCTTAATAAATGCAAACATGTAACGCCAAAATTCTTTGGCGGCCACCTTGTCCAAGTGGCGTTTATCCGGATGAATCTAACAGACATCGAATATCGGAAATTATATTTAAAGTTAAACGAACAGCATGAATTTACGTACCATAAGCACCTTGACATCCCACTGCTTTATCTCAGAATTAAGCTGAGATCCTTGATTATAAATGTGAACTCCACACACTAATACCAGAGCAAGTAAGAGCACGAAGCGAAGGTCATACATTTTAAAATCCATACCTTTTTTAAACACTTCAAGCGGAAATTTCCACTTCCAGCCCTTAAACTGCCAAGCCTGTCCCGACACGATTACACCAACAACCGAGCGCCTAAATTGCAAAAAATTAATACGTTGTTCAACGCTACAAACCAATTTCGTAAACATACCAGTCTTTGTCTTTAAATCGATTGACTGTGTCAACAATCTTAAAAGTATACATATGTCCATCCTCTTCATGCGAAATCATCATCGATTGTTCTTTACGGTGTCCGTCTGCCTTTTTTTGCATGTTCGAGATATATACTCCGTCCACTAGAAAGTCTCGAGCATTTAACATCGTAAACAAGTCGGAGAATCCAGCGGGTACCACAATAATTGGAGTACCCGAAATCCTCTCTTTTACAAGTCGATGGAGCGGCAATTGCTCCTTTTTTGTTGTCGTTGTTGCCATTAATGCTGTCGCTTTACTGGCCTTTTCAATCTTTTCCTTCGTCTCGGCATTCACGAGCTCAAGTGTCTTGATAACGCTATCAAATTTGGTCTTCTGTGCGTCCAATACCGTCGTGCGGGTCCTATTGACGTATTCTCGATCCAAGATCTTTTTCATCCGGTCATCGTCACCTTCCTGAACTTTGTGGTTCTCACCAAGTTTACGGCGATTATTCTCCTCCTGAACCAATTTTTTCTTTTTTGCCGCTCGAGCTTCACTTTCATTTTCTCTTAATTTCTTCGCTGCTGTTTTTTGGTCCTTTTCGCTCGACGTAGTTGAGTGTTTTCCACGGGCATCCAGGATTTGAGGACTGCTGTCAATGTCTCCCTTTAAAAAAGCTACAAGTTCTTTCTTATCAACAGTTGAAACCATTGCTGCCTTTTCCTCTCGACACTTGAGTACATAATCACTAAAAGATAAGTCTGCGTGTTTAAAACACGTGTGAACAGCTAGCAGATCATAGCTTTTGTCGAGCTTCTTTGAGTGATATGCTGTAGGCGCATGCTTTTGCAAACGTCGTAGCTCGGATCCAGAAGCATCAAGAAATACCAATTCTTCACCTTCAACTTTCACAGACTTGCCACCAATCAAATGTGCACGCAACGCACGCAGCACCGCTAAAGGCGTGTCATCCTTCGTCGCCATACTATATCTAGTGTTGTGTGGTGAACACGAAAACAATCATGTGGTTGACATGAAAGAGTCAAAACATAATTCTTTCGATGGCTAAACCGCATGTGGTGCTGTACTTTGATGTGAACAAGGTCTTAAAGCCTTCTCATTGGTTTCGTGCAAAGACCTTCGACTAATTTTGCTTCATTTTAATGTGTACAGACGATTATTATGCACGATCCTATGCAGGGAAAGTCGCTCCATCATGTCCTCAACGACCTCTTGACAGAACGAGCTTTGGGGCGAGTACTGAATGAGTCGAATGCCGATCCAAAGTGGGTTTGGAATGGAGAACGGATTTTGGAAAGAAAATTGCCAATTCAAAAAGACGACGATGGTCTGATGTCCTACGGGGAATTTTTAAGAGCAAAGGTGGGCTAGTAGAGCCTTTGACAATCATTCGAAAAGTTGACATTAGTTAGTATGCTGAACTTGTAGTATCCTTTATCAGACAATCCTGAGACTGCCAAAAAAAATAAAGACACGAGGAGGACGTTACGTCTAGAATTCACGAGCGAAGGAAATCCGGGTGAAGGGCTGGAAATTGAGCATGAGAAATTATTGCAACACCTGCTTCTACCTCGTACAGAAGCGAGTGATGCCCATTTGCACGAGTTAGGCCTGAGCGGATCGCCATATTTCTTTATTGTACCAGCATTCTTTCGGCTACTGGAATATTTGCAAACAAATGATTTTATCTTTAACATCATTTTCAGGACTTTTGGTGACGACTTACGTCGAGTGGCGCAAGAGTTTAATTGTTTTTGCGAAGGACGCCATCCTTACTTTCCGTTAATGAAGCCTATGGATGGATCGGATGGAAGTGTTGATCGACGTATATATCTTGATGGAAACCTGGATGGAAACATGCCACGTTTTGGAACCTTTTTGCGAACGAGATGTACCACAGCTTTGATCATGGGTTCATTCGAGCAACCTGAAGCGACTATTGCCGACCCGCTAGCCTTCTACACTTCTCAAAACAATCATGTCAAGATTATGCAAGGAATACTTCAGATTCACCATTTTCTTGTGCGACGCTGGCGAAATTCGCAAGCCACGCTAGCTTTGCGTGACTACTATCCGTACTGGTTTAGTAATGGTGAAGTTGCTACTGCGGGAAAGCTACTACTAGTTGATCGGGCCGATTCCACTGAAGGTATCCACGCAATGTTCTTTGACGACAATATACTGCTTCATGACGCACATATCGTTGACGTTAGGGATGCACACAATGGAGCAGCACAACCTTTTGAAGAGACGCGTGAGTTGCACTTGATGCGCGTCGAACCACTTGACGTGATCCAGAACACAACTTACTTTATTGATCGCTTTAATGCTTCCTTACAACGAGCAATGAATGAATAAGGCATCACAACGGACAAAGATTTAAGATTTAAAGCACTAGATATTATTACAGTTCAAAGCAAATGAGCCGATACCATACTAGTACTATTCCAATAACAACAAAACTAGCCATGTCTGCAATCCTATCATTATATCTAACAAATCGCGGCGAGAAAAGTTTATCACATGTTTGCTGACATACTTACTAATTATACGATTGTGAAGCCATACGTTCGGACTGGGAACATTGCGCAGAAATCTTTTCGAGCCACTTCAAACCTGCCAAACTGTTCTGACGCCCGTTGAAAAGCGTTGACTGGTTTACCTTGTACAACAAGACACTAAATTCAGCTACTAACCTTCTCTTGTTTATACACCATAACTTTTGAGATGGTAATCCGAATTGAATGTGCCATTTGTACCGCGAACAACAGCTTAACATGGGTTAATGTTCTAATTTGAACCTCACTCCAGCAATATTGCCGATGTGAGATTCCTGGCTTCCAGAAGACGGAGTTGATGATGTTCTAGAAGGAAATAAGCGCTATATATTTCTTCTCATCTTCAAAGCCATTCCGTCCAAGGTATATCCTTTAACAATGTTTACTATATCAGAAGCTTAAGGGTGGCAAGTTGCGAAGTCATCAGAAAAAACACGTCACAAATGCTTACTCTCATGACAGATGGCGGTCTAATTGTTCAACACATTGATGTCGAACAAACGTCTTCTCGAGCGACACTTTTGGAATTCCTAGAAAGGTCAATTGGTAGCTTTCTGAATTTGGTCAGGACCGGTTTTGCTCAAAACTCAATGACGCTCACTCACAGAATGTCATAATGTAGTAATACAGTTCGTCCAATCATTTGTTGCCATTACAATGACGTGATTTGATTTACTAAATCACAGCACGGAGTGGGACCTCGTCGATACGTTACTGCTTGCAAATCTTCAGTAATTCAAATTTGCAACATTGAAATGGTATCGAAAGTATCGAAAGTCACCTATTGCGCATACTACAGAAGACATCAAGGCTAGTCGTAATGTAAGCAATAACGATGACATCATGAACCACTGAGTTCTAATTCCTATTTAAACCGAGAGAATTAAAACAATATAAATGCTTGCGATCATATCATCACCGGTATAAAACACTGTTTTTGTGAAAAAAAAAAAACTATTTATCACACAGTTAAAACATGTGGACTTGAGTCCCACTTTACGATATCACCAAGTCCAATCAGAATCAAGGACATTTTGCGCTGTCCCAAAGTTCACTTAAACGGATGTGGTTCATCAAAGCTTCCAGCAGCTTTTCGCTCATAGTTTATTTTGCTACGTAATACTCATCCACTCGGTTCGAGTGGTTGGCTGCGTAATGGCATGGCGAAGAGTGTTTTTCGTCATAGTTCTTGGCATCCTTGCCAAAGAGGTGTCCGCCTCATTCAAGACAAGTGATATAATTCATCGATTTACAAGAAGAACTATGTCAATGTCTACACCAGTCCAAGATTCTGGCTCAAGCTCAGGGTCATCAGTATCTGAATCCGAGCCAATCGAGTTAATCATAGAAAAATTGATAGCTTCAGCCTCGGCTTCAGGGTCCGTCTCATTTGAGGCGGCGTTTGAAGCGCTGTCCACCTCAAAATGGAGAAGAGAACAGTCGAATTCGTCCAAAGTTTTTGTATCTTCAATTGAAACACAAGATGCAAAGGTGACCGTGGCCTCGAGCTCTTCGTCCAATTACTCGGCTTTGATCACTTATGGATCTAGCACTTCGTTTAAACTTGCCACGCCTCTCACTGCCAAAAGTTCGGTAGTACCAACATACCGCAATTGGGTCGGTCCTCACAAGTTGCAAGGTGATGCTGCTTGCTGGCGTGAAGCTCATATTATGGACGAGTGCCCGTCAAATTACGACCGTAATGATGCCACTAACACGTGCTGGACAGAGTGTCCGATTGAGTTTCCAGTCGAATGTGGGGTCGAATGCGTTCGTCAGAACGACGATTGCGGCCGTGAAATATTTTACAAAGTCTCGTCTATTATCAACGTCGGTCTCAATGGAATTATGGACAATTGGTTTGGCAAGTTTGCCAACATGGCCAAGTCAGTTCGAACCACTGTATATTGTTCATGTATGATTCTCGGCTTGATCCGAGCCATGCTTCGGTACATTCGAAGCGTTCAAAGTGCCGATCCACAAGCAACTCGGGACAAGATTTTGGCTGCTTTGTACCAGTCAAATGTTGTGGTGGTCGAACTTCCCATTACTATCAAAATGTGCTCAGGGGATCGAGTGACCAAGAATTGGTGGCTTGCAGATCGACTCATGGCTTCAACGCAATTCATTTTGGCTGAAGTACTGGCTCATGATGATCAACTTCTTACAAGCTGGCACCGATTTAAAGCTTTTCTGAAAGGGGCGAACTTCACAACACCCCCAGAACAGATAACAAAAGGGGAGATCGGGTATCTTACGGATGCATTAAAATCCAACTCGACGTGTGGTCACGACTTACAAGGACTGGTACATCGAACATGGGCAACCATTGCAGCATTGCGAGAGCAACATCCTGGAATCACGGAGGGTCAGTTGCGCACTGCGATTCAAAACACGGAACTTGTCAAAACGGACATTGCAATGGTGACAAGCAATTGCATGGAGCTGCTTATTCAACAATCAAACGAGGCAACTGCATACACGACTCGCGACAAGATTCGCAAGACTTTTGGTGTCATTATCAATGACTTGATCACAGAGGGAAAAAGCAACAATGGCTCATCCTTTCAAGCCGACGAATATGCATACCAAGCGCTAAATGATGGTATGAGTATGTGGGTTTGCACGGGGTTCGATATGACTGGTATCTCCAGTATGATTTCAGATTATTTCCAGTCAATTTGTGGCCCCACACAATTTATTGGTGAAGTTGATGATGGCACCCATCCACATACACTTGGGATGAACATCATCCAGAAGGCATTTCAAAACAGTACAATGTCTTGGAGCAAGAGAGGAGATGGCGAAGTGGTCCTCACTTTCACAAGTTTGGACACGATGGATGTGACGGTGAACATCATGTCTGGAGGAGACAAGATTGACGAGGTGGAACTCCCAGCGGGTGCAAAAGCAATGTGGAAGTCAACAGTGAAGCAATTAGGGGGCAAAACTTTTTATCTAGATCGATGGCGTCCAGGGTTTTTGGGACTACCCGGAACAGGAGGTGGTTCTTTAATGTTGTGGCTTCCTCACGCGGCGGAAGGGGGCCACCTAGATTTGGATGTGAAACTTAATGTGAGTTGAGGCTCGACGTAATGACGAGCTCTAGTACAGTTGAAAATAGACTTAAGAATAAATGAATAATATACTCTGCAGGTTGCTATCACGCATTTATACTTCTTTGCTTTTCCCACAAAAAACAAACGACCGACTAGTTTCACAAGTACACGTTGCACAAACTAGCAAAATGGGTACGTTGGCGATGTGACTAACACTACAGTAGACGAGAAAGTTGTGATGTTATGCTTTAAGACGACTTTTTACTAAAGCTGTGATGAGAACAGAACGCACAACACACAATGCAAACATTGCCGCGAGGCTACATCAACCTGGTAACTACATACGAGATGTTCGGCCGCAGCTGTGCGATATGCTAACAATCAGTGGTGCGATATGATAACAGGGATAAGTGTTACCTTTAAATATCAGTGTGTTGCCGGCTTCAGAAAGTCAATGCGATTTGGGTTTGTTGTTATTGACCATTCTATCATAGGCGATCGCAGGCGTCATGTCTTTAGTGGTCACTTCATCCGCTGCTGTTTTACCAGATACTACGGACTAGCTTAAGTGTTACTGGTGTGATATATACATGTCCTTATTACAGTTGTTAGATATGTGGAGCAGAAAAAGAGATAAGCGAGCGTAAACTTCACGGTTGAGCAGTAATCTCTCCGAGCACCAGTAAAAATGATCATTGGACAGCTGCGTTCCCGTACGAGCGCGGTCATTGTCGTGGTTCTGACTTACTTTCAATACATGCAGCGCTACTTATATGGCATTTGGTAATTTTAACTGAACCTTTGGAGGTCAGAAGAGCAAATCAATCATAGTTGCAGACTTAACATTTTAGATGTTACGTCCTTGTGCGCAAGTGATATTTCTACGATAACTGTGCTGTTTGAAGCGATAATGTATTATCACCTTTGCTTTGCATTTTTCAGAAAGTGCGATGACTTACCCCATTTGAGTAGGATATTAGTAGCAATGAGCTCTGAAATGATTGCAGCGAGTTGAGATGGAGCTCGTCAAAAAAGTCAAAACAGCCTACAAGACGAATGTTGAGAATAAAGAATAAGAATTCTTTTCAATATAATAACTAGCTAGCTATCAATTCAATGAGTCAGCAATATTTCCATTTTGAATACGTGTTAACGTAAATTGATATTTGTAGTTTTGTACCTGGTTTTGTCGTCCTCTTTGGCCTCTTGCTTTTAACTCTATCAACGCCTGTCAGCAAAGGGAATATCGCAGCGTCTACAAAATATTGTAATATACGTCTAAGCTGTACGTAATGATGACAATCGGTAGTCCATGCCAAACATTGCCAAAGCCATCATTCTACCCCATCTCCTCAAATTAGCATCAACACAGAAGAACTTTGCGTAAATCTTAAAAGCATATCATGTCAATCTGGACTACGTGTCTCGCATAACCATGAACACAGAGTAAATACTCTGTAATCTCTACCATGTAATGAATATTATATTTCGACATCTTGTCTATACATACACACTCCATATTTCAGAAATGGCTGTCGTAGATATTCTTTTACCTAAGTGACGCTAATTTTGAATTTCAAGCAATCATACAAAATGCTCATATCTATCTAACAATGTTGCTGGAGCTCATATAATGCAGCTAGGCTCTTTTCAATGGCCTTTTGATCAGTTTGAAGCTGAATGAGTCGCTGTGCATCTTGCGTCTGCACAGCCTCAGGCACCTTGTCAGCATAAAGCCCTTCGTTTTGACGCCGGATCAGCGCTTCAGCTGCCGTCGCATTTTTCAAGGCACGCTTTTCTAATCGGAGTATTTCGTTGGCTAAGCGTTGCGTCGTCTCTGCATCATCTGGTACTTCTACAATTACTGATATCCAAAACATAATCGGTAAGTCAAACAATTGTAAAGAAAACGACTTGGTGACAAACCTCGACAGGAGTTTGAGACGGAATACGTTAATGCGCGAGACGACAACGGAGACGAATCAGCATCAACAAGTTTCACGCTTACGCGGCATTGCGTCTCGAAGTCACGGTGCGAGTTTTTCAGCTCAGACTGTACAGTTTCATTCGTGTAAACGATATGCATAGTAGGACGCTCGCTATATTGAATATTAGGCATCATAAGTGACTCGGACAATGAACGGCTTTTATGACAAAAGTACCTATCCCCCGTCGGTGTTGCGTGGGGTGCCAAAACCTTGACAGTGTGGCGAAGCGAGCGAATCGCATGAATGACGTCAAGTACTAGCTGCGTTCGAGATATATCAAAAGGACCAAAGTGACACAATTTTCTACAGAAACGTACCGTCATTTTCTGTTCAGCTTCTGCATCAATCCAGCAGCTCATTTCTAACTGGTCTGGGTACTTGGCACACAGAATGGAGGTCTCGATCTTTTGGTCGCATGAAAACGGATCGATCTCGCGAATGCGCTGCCACAATTCTTCAGTCACAAAGGGTGCGAATGGATGAAGCAATCGCATCGAATAGTCCAAACACCGATGTAAAGTAGCTTGTGTGCTACGTTTTCGTGCATGCTGATTATCATCAATCACTTCCTCGAGGCGGTTGCCATACAGCACTGACTTGCTAGACTCAATGTAAACATCGCACAGTTCATGTACAAAAAATCGTTGCATTGCAGCGACGCTCGTTGCTAATTGATTGGTAGCAAGACCGTCATTCACCTCTTTTACGACAGCAGCCTGTTACATTTCAAGGTTAGTGCAAAGTACTCGATAACTTAAACTGTCGAGATATTGTCTTACCAATCGACTTAAAATCCAGCGATCCGAAAGCGTCATGTGATCACGTAAGCATGTGAGCTCCTTTTCATCACTTCTCACCGCCTTGTTACTATCTCTCGCTAATAGTGGCAAAGCGTAGCGCACGGCATTCCACATTTTGTTGCAGAAATGGCGGTAGGAGACGACTCGCTGCACGTCCATATTAATTTGTCGGCCTTGCTGAAGATACGAGGCAAGCGTGAGACGAAGTGCATCGGAGCCACAGGTAGGTATTCCCTTTGGAAATTCTTTTCGTAGTTCTTTCTCCGCTTTCTTGAGCTCCCGGTTTTCGACATTACCACTCTATAATAAAGCAAGGAAGGATTAATGAACACTACAGTTGCAAAGCATTTCGGTCGTAAGTCTACCTGCAAATCTGAAAGTAATCGCTCGAGACTGATGCCGTTGATAACGTGAAGTGGGTCAATGACATTTCCAACACTTTTCGACATTTTTCGACCAGCTTTGTCGCGAACCATGGGATGTAGAAGCACTTTGTTGAACGGTATGCAGCCAGAAAACTACAATACACTATATATTTTAATGCTGATAGCTGATTTTATCGTCGTGCTTTTCAACTTACCTCTTCGCATATCATTGCCATCCTTGCAACCCAAAAAAATAGGATATCCGAACCAGTCTCTAAAACATTTAAAGGATAGCCCAGGCTCAGATTTATGGCAGTAGCATCATTGTCGTTAGCATTAGGCCATCCCTAACAGACAAGCGAAAAGGTTAGCTAAAACGTTCATTCAAATAGGATTCCAATACTGATCAGCTTACAAGTGCCGATAAAGGAAGCAAACTCGAACTGAACCACGTATCAAGTACGTCCACATCTTGTTCTAAATCATCGTTTTGAAGCTTGTATCCAAGCTCAGCTTCTGCCTTCTTTTGAGCTTCTTCAAGTGTTGCAGCCACAAACCACTTGTCCGTATGTATGTCTTTGACAGTATCTGCTTTTAATCGATAAGCTGGAATGCGATGACCCCACCAAAGCTGTCGACTCACACACCAGTCTTGAATATTGTCCAGAAAGTAAAACCACGTATGTGCATGTTCTTTTGGCTCGATTGTCATAACTCCGTTACGAACGTTTTCTGCGGCGCGTCGCGCCATTCTACTGCACTTTACGTACCATTGTGGCATCAAAAGTGGCTCAATGATGTCCCCTGAACGCGAGCAGATCGACAATGAGGTCGGATGGTCACGCTATCGCAAGCGAAAATAATCAAATTATGTAGAAAACCCATTAGGAATGATGAACAAGTTACCTTATCTACATACAGCTTCATGTCCTGCAATGCCTCAACTACACGTTGACGGGCTTCGAACCTGTCTAATCCTATGAATTGTTCGCCGATGTTACCACATAATTTTCCGTCCTTATCAATCACTTCGATTTCCGGTAAATTGTGTCGTTGACCACACTCAAAATCTTTTGGATCGTGCGCTGGAGTAATTTTTACGACACCTTCCAACAACACATATAAACAACGCTTAGTCTCTTGATAGCCATTAAGCAGCTAAATGAATACTATACCAGTGCCAAGTTCCATGTTCACTAGTACATCATCCATAACTATTGGAAGCTGCATCTTTGAAAATGGATGAATCACGTGCTTTCCACGCAGATGCTGGTACCTTACGTCATTCGGGTGTACGGCTACTGCAACATCACCAAAAATAGTCTCTGGTCGCGTGGTATCAACCTCTAAGAAATCATTTGTGTCGGCAATTTGATACTTAAAGCGATACATGACACCAAATTCAACTACTTTATGTCCTCCAGGAAGCACCTTTTTCGTCGCTTTGTCTAATGGTTCCAAATCCACTTCGATATCAGAAATAGCGGTCTGTAACATCGGACACCAATTGACCATTCTCCTTCCGCGATACAATAGACCCTTTTCATGCAACTTTACAAAAGCAGTGACCACCGCTTTCGATCGTTCCGTATCAAGTGTAAAGTATGGCTGATCTTTCTTGACAATCGCACCTAAACGGTCAATTTGATTCATAATCTTGCCTCCATACTGCTCATTCCATTGCCAGACTCGATCTACGAAAGCTTCACGTCCTATTTCATGGCGTGACAGACCTTGTTCCTTCATCAGCTTCCTCTCTACTACACTTTGTGTGGCAATACCTGCATGATCCAATCCTGGCAACCATCGGACGTCAAAGCCTCGCATACGATGCCACCGAGCAATAGCGTCCTGGATAGTGATGGTCAATGCGTGGCCAATGTGAAGTGCACCTGTAATATTCGGTGGCGGTAAAATCATACTAAATATTTTTCTAGACGAATTCGCGGCTTCGCTATCTAATTGTGTGCTGGAACCCAACGTGTGTTGCCAATATTGCTGCCATCCTTGCTCCACAACTGTCGGGTCATATGTTGAGGCCATAGAAGCGTATTTTACGCGTTCACGCAGCTCTTGAGACAAAGGAATCACTGGCAAAACTTTTGAGGAAGTCAAATTAGAATGTTTTTTAACTTTAAACGAAAGCCGTCCGCCATGTTTCACAGCGACACCGAGGCCTATGATACATCGTCGTCGCGTGAGCATCCTGTGTGGTGAGAACCATTTCAACGTGGTCCACACCCAGAACCATTCCGTTTATGAAGTGTTGATACATCGACTTCGGTGATCAGTTTGCAATGTCAGTGCTAATAGAAACAACGTTAGGCACGCTCGTGCTCGATCTGTTTGTCGAAGACTGTCCGCTAGCATGCACTAATTTTCTAAAGCTATGCAAGATCAAATACTATCACAGTTGTTTGTTTTTCAACGTACAAGAAAATTTTATGATCCAGGCAGGAGATCCGACTGCCACTGGAACTGGTGGGGACTCTATTTACGGCAAGTTATATGGCGCTCAGGCGAGATTTTTTGATGACGAACTGCCAAAATCAAAGGGAAGGTCGCATGAAGATCGAAGTGGATTAATTGGTATGGCATCTGCATCAGCGAACCAGAACGCATCGCAATTTTACATTACCACAAAGAGCGAAGATATGGCATATTTGGATGATCAACATACTATTTTTGGTGAAGTAGCTGAAGGAATGGATACTTTGATGAAAATTAATTCATTATTTGTGGATAACGATAACCGACCGTATCAAGATGTGCGAATCAAACACACGTACGTCCTTGATGACCCATTTCCGGATCCAAAGGGATTGGACGAGCTGATTCCTTCGACATCGCCTACTCGGGAACGGTATGAAGAAGAGCAAGTGGAGCCAAGACTTGCAGCTGACGAATCACTTGATGATTACAAAGGCAAAACAGAACAAGAAATTGAAAAGGCGGTGAAAGAAAAGGAAGCCAAGTCTCGTGCTGTGGTGCTTGAGATGATTGGAGATTTGCCTGATGCAGACGTAAAGCCTCCAGATGAAGTGCTTTTTGTGTGCAAATTAAATCCTGTGACCGAGAGTTCGGATTTGGATATGGCGTTTTGTAGATTTGGACCATGCAAGTCCGAAGTGATTCGTGACTATAAAACAGGCGACTCGTTATGTTTTGCATTTGTTGAATTTACTGATCGCCGACACTGTGAGGAAGCTTATTTCAAGATGAATAATGTGTTGCTGGATGATCGACGTATTAAGGTTGATTTTAGTCAGTCGGTGTCAAAATTGTGGAATAAAGTCAAGCGACGCCCGTGGGAAAAGCCAAGCAAGCGTGACGGCGATTCGTGCACTGATAGGAAAAGTGGTCAACATGGTAAAGGTGGTCGTCGAGAACTGAATAAAATGTTAACGCTGAAGTCGCGCAACGTAGACGACTTTCAACTTGTTGAGGAAGAGGAAGCGTCTTCGTCTTCACATCGTGTGGTGTCAGCGTTACAACCTGGTGATCGTCGACGCAGTCTTTGTCGTGACAATAGTCGTCGACGAAGTCGTAGTCGTGAAAATGGTCGTCGACGAAGTCGTAGTCGTGATAGTAGTCGACCGTCTTGTCGGGAGAAGGAGTTGTCCCGATCGAAGCGATGGTATGGAAGCAGTCAGAACCGGGAGCAAGCCCACCGTCGACGTAGTGAAAGATACGATCGACGATCACGAAGCAGACGTAGACGAAGTCGGAGTCGCAGCAACAGCTCTAAAAGCGAATCGGGTCGCGATCGGAAAAAACGTTCTAGAAGATAATATGGCATTGTAAGGTGATTTAATCGGTTCTGCTTTGGAGTTCTTTTACGATGATGTAAAGAGTAGTTCTGGCTGGCTATGCTAGCGAATTTGTTGTTCAATGCGAATAATAAATCTAAGAAATACAGCAAAAGGTAACTTGATTTGAGAATCTGTAAGGATTCTAGGGCTTGTTGTAAATCAACAAAAGAATCAATCTCTGCAATTACATCACTGCTAATCTTTGGTTCGATCAGAGACCACACATTGTCCTATTGGGGAGAGGTAGTACCGTAGTGAGGTAGTGTGATCAAGTATTATGGCAATGTAAATTGATAGAGTGCATCAAAGTGATGATACTCGTCCGTAGGTCAAGTAACTTTGGGACTCAAGCGATGCATCAATAAACGTTTACATTAGCCATATTAAATATCACTCCTCAACTTTTTGGTCGTATGGTGCTATAAAAGACAACGCGAACCTCGTCGCACTTGGTAACACTTGCACCACTGGGTCTTGTGCAGTCTACACTTTCTGCGAGATTACAAGTGATATGTTTACTGTTCAACAAATGCACAACAGGCTGCAGACTTTGCTTGGCCTGAAGGAAAAATTACAATTGGCGTCCAGATCAGGACGCTAAAACCACTCGTCTGAAAGCTCTCACCAGCTACGAAAATGTGCCGGTGTTATGTCAACGTTCCACTCACACTTCGGTAGAAATCCAAACTTCCTTCAGAGCTCTAGAGTGAGGTTACGCTTAAAATTTGGGGAAAATGGATGAATTCTCGCCTCTGGATACAATAATACGGTGGCCATGGACTTGATCTTTCTCCGATTAGAGCAAAGGTGTAATGGGGTTCCATGAGAGTGACCCGTCACTCTCCCAAGGGAGCTGTGGTGTGGCATACACC